ATCTGGAAACGTCTTCGTAAAGTGTAAATTTTGTTCTATATACCCTTAAAGTTTCATAAAAATCACATTAAAGTTGTAAGAGAACTAAAATTATTTTAAAAAAAAAAACGTATGGTGCTTTAGCAGTTGGGGGTCAAAGTTTAAAGGGCTGTATCTTTGTTATTAATCGAGCGATTTTTATGAATTTTTTGGGGAAGGTGGGGGGAAATGTGCTTTACAATGCAGTGAAAACTGTTTTTTAATACCTACATAAACATTTTTGTTGTACGCATTTAAATTAACCATGGTCATTTTTGACACCTTTGTATAAAATGTCAAATTACTCTTTTGTTTTAAGGGTTATTCTAAATCTGTAAACGTCATTGTAAAGAGGATATTTTGTTTTATATACCCTTAAAGTTTCATAAAAATTGTTTGAAAGAGAACTAAAATTTTTATTTCTAAAAAGCGTATGGTGCTTAGCACCGCAGTGCTAAATGGGGGGTTAAAGTTTAAAGGGCTGTATCTTTGTTATTAATCGTGCGATTTTTATGAAATTTTTGGGGGAGGTGGGGGAAAATGTGCTTTTCAATGCAGTGAAAACTGATTTTTAATATCTATTTAAACATTTTTGTTGTACGCATTTAAATTAACCATTGTCATTTTTGACAACGTTGCATAAAATGTCGAATAACTTTTTTATTTTAAGGGTTATTAAAAATCTGTAAACGTCTTTGTAAAGAGGAAATATTGTTCTATATACCCTAAAAATTTCATAAAAATCGTATCAAGGTTAGAGAACTTAACAGACTACTTACGGTTTTTGGTGCAAACGTGGTGCATGGCCCAGAGCGCCCACAGTTGTATCTGATAATCCATATCCACATCGAGCAGTGGATAAAAGGGCCGGAAGCTCCGGTAGGCAACCATCTCGCCGTCAGGGTCTTTCCAGTCGTTGACGGCGCTCTCCAGTAGCACCAACATATCTTTGCGTTGGTGAGTAGGCACGCACCACCGTTCTTGGCCTTCGGAAGCCAGGTGCGCCACTATACCGGCGGCAAAATAACTTACATCGATGTTTTTACTGTACAAAAGGCGGACTAGTTCTGTGACTAGGGCGTCTTGCATCAGATGGTGGCGAAGGCCGGGCACCTCGCTGATGTTGTTCAGCAGCCCCAAAACTTTGGTCTCGATGGCGCTTTCGTCCTTGAAGGCCCACAGGACGTTCAGGAACAGCAGGGCGCCGTCCTGCTCGAGAAAAACGCTGCAGGTGGTCGACGATTCGTCCGTCAGGTTCCACAGGGTGCTGAGAGTGAACTTTAAGGTTATGTCGGAGACGCCGCTTTCCACCCTCGATTGCACCATCGAGAGGAGTTTTTGCATGTACAACTTTTTGGCGCCCAGAAATGACGTTTCTTCGGTTGTTACCTGTTTAGAAAAGTACAATATCGTAACGCAGTTTTTCGTCGTTTAGAGTTTTTACTGTAAATTTGACAACTATGCGTTAATTTTGACAGTTTCTATGTAATTTTTGACATTAAATAAATGCTATTTTTACTGTCAAAAACTTTTTTTTTCCAAAAGTTATATAAAAACTTTCGCCGATTTTTGCTATTTACAGTTTTTACTGTAAATTTTACAAACACGTTAATTTTCATAGTTTTTAAGTAATTTTTGACATAAACAAGTTTTTGACGGTAAAAATAACTTTTATTTACCGTCAAAAATTACATAGAAACTGTCAAAAATAACGTATAGTTGTCAAATTTACTGTAAATTTTACAGTTATATGGTAATTTTAACAGCTTTAATGTAATTTTTGATAAAAAAATTAGTTTGTGACAGTAAATAAAATATTTTTCGTCGTTTTTTGACAGTTTTAACAATATTAATTTTTATAATTTGATATTAATATTTATAATTTTTTTTCTACACTTTTTAGGCCATTTACAGTTTTTACTGTAAATTTGACAATTGTACGTTTATTTAGTTTTGATGTAATTTTTGACAGAAAAAAAAGTTTTTGACAGTAAATTAAACATTTGTCGCCGTTTCTTTAACAGTTTTAACAGATTTATTATTATTTTTTGAAACTTCTTGGACTGACATCATCTAAAATTGTTTATTAACACGACGTTTCGATTGCTAGTGGATCTGCAATCGAAACGTCGGGTTAATAAACAATTTTAGATGATGTCAGTCCAAGAAGTTTCAAAAAATATGAACTCATTGTCTACAAATTTCAAACAAACAGATTTATTATTCTTTGTACACTTTTTTTCCCATTGAGAGTTTTAACTGTGAATTTTACAATTATACGTTAATTTTGACAGCTTTTATGTAATTTTTGACAACAAAATAGTTTTTGCCAAAAAAATAAAATACTTTTGTCGTTTTTTTTGAAAGTTTTAAAAATATTAATATTTATAATTTGATAATTTAATATTAATTTTTTGTACACTTCTTAGGCTATTTAGAGTTTTTAGTGTAAATTTTACAATTGTACGTTTATTTACAGTTCTTATGTAATTTTTGACAGAAAAAAGTTTTTGACAGAAAATTTAATATTTGTCGCCGTTTCTTTGACAGTTTTTCTAATAACTTTGGTCAGTTTTAGCAGATTTATACTTTTTTGTAAATTTTTTTTCTTCCATTGAAAGTTTTTACTGTAAATTTGACAAGTATACGTTAATTTGACAGCTTTTAGGTAGTTTTTGACAAAAAAAAATAGTTTTTAACAGTAAATAAAATATTTGTCGTCGTTTTTTTTTTAAATATTAATATTTATAATTTGATATTAATTTAATTTTTATAATTTTTTGCACACTTTTTAGGCTATTTAGAGTTTTTCTAACTTTTGCCAGTTTTAACAGATTTAACATTTTTTGTAATTTTGTTTGCCATTTTAGAGTTTTTACGGAATTTTTGACAGTAAATATAACATTTTAAAATGTTTTTCATTAATATTTGACAGTTTATCGTTTCTTGTACTCTTTTTGATAGTAATTTGAAGTTCTTGCGTCAATTTTAGACGTTATTTCCGATTTTTGACGAATTACGTTTTTTTTGTACCAATTTAAACCATTTTTGCTGTTTTTTGATATTTTTTTCTTAATTTTCTACACTTTTTTTTGCTATTTTACGCTTTTAGATAATTTTTGACAGAAAAAAAGTTTTTGACAGAAAAATGACATCTCGAGCGTAAAAACGTGGTATAAGGTAAAACTCACCTTGGCGGCCAAGATGCCGCAAATGGCGACGGCCATGCGGCTCATGTTCAAATCGTCGTATGTCGAAGTCGACCTCCTGCAGAATCCTGTCGCTGCACAGGATCAACAACGAGTTCTTCTGCAGCTGAAACTCGTCCGGAAAAGTCTTCATCGCCACCAACGTCAAACGCACCGCCCGCCCCAAAGTTTTAGCGTTTATGTGCTTGGAAAGATCCCCGCGCGTCAAATTGTAAAGGCACGCGGTTGCCGCCATCTGAACCCCGAACTTGGAGGGGTAATGCTCCATGTGCGGAAGCACCAAATCGAACAAATCGGGACGAGGGTCTTTAAACCTATTGGTCAGCTGGAAGAGATAGTAGAGCGCCTTTTGAACGTAAGAAAAACGGTCCCAATACTTTTTTAGCGTTTCTATTATATGCTCCTCAGTTCCCAGCCTAAAAAATAACACTCAAAGTAAAAATTGACGTCCCTAAGACTGTTTTAAGAATGTCAACTGTCACTTTTTAAAAGTGACAGTTGACAGCTGTCAAAAAACTAAATTGAAGCGACCTACCCAGCAATATTGAGTTTGCTCTCACACACAAACGGATCAAACGTGAAAGATGTCAGAGCAAGCCCTAAAAATTCAATGTTCGGGTGGGCTTTCATGAAGGCTATCAAAATATCCCGCGTTCAATGTATCCCTCCACCCCGATAAATCCAGGTAGAGAATGTTGGGGAAGGTGAGAAAATTCTGCAAGATTTTGTTGGGGTTAAACGTCAAATCGTATTTCTCAACTTTATCTATATGAATGCTCATGTCCAGATAGTGAAAATCCATGTTTTCCACTGCAGTGTTAACGTTTTTGAGGTTAGGTAAATCGCTTATCGTTAGAGCCCTCAGTTTCTCCATCTGCGACAAAGGCGTCAAATCGGTCAATTTCGTCCCGGAAATGTCGAGCTTTTCGAGATTCCGCAGATCCTCGCATATCATCGCAAAAATTTCCTGATTCACTTCGGAATAGGCCACGGATAAATACCGTAGACTGTGAAAATGCGTGATTTTCACCATCAGGCAGTATCTGGACATATTCACGAAATTGCAGTGCCTGAACACCAACTTTCTCATCCATTTTTGCGACCATACACCCAGACAGTCGAGAATCTCCCCGATCGTCACGAAATTCATGTTGATAACCTCCAAATCCTTTATGCGATGGTCTTTCAGCATCCGGCAGCCTTCCACTGTTATCAGGGCGTTACTCAGCTTCACCCTACGCAATCTAGTGTGCTTCGACGTGAACAGACCAATCACGGGGTCCACCAGCGGTCGTTTCTCCTGAAACCTGTGCAGAATCTTCTCCGATACATTGTTAATTATAAACAGATACGGGTCGCGAAATTTCAGCCCCTCCGTTTGCATGTTCGACCCCCAATCGTGCACCTGCCACCACTCGGGGGGGCTGTGATACATCTCGTCGTCCTCGACCATTTTACACATGAAATCCGTTATACTGTCCAAGCACAAGTCTTCCAAACTTCTAGGTTTGCAAACAGACTCCATTTTCACCACTAAATCCTAATTATTTGTACGTTTTCGGTTGCTTTAATGTTTGTACTCACATCGTACACGTAAATCGATAACTATTCCATTGCGAAAATCACGTTTTTGGTGCTAAAATAGGGCCTTTATTTATTTATGTATCTGGCTGTCAAAAATGTCTGTCAAAATGGCGAACTGTCAAGCAATCAGCTGATTTACATGGCCAAGTTGATTTATGTATTTTTAATAAAATAATAATTATTTTAGTATAAAAACGTTTATTTACAGTATTAATACAAATAATGAATGGATTTTTTTACTATATTTATTTAAACTTGCTCTAAAAGTGGAAAACTATCCTCACTCCTGGGTATAATAGCCTCAATATTATAGAAACTAGCGTGTAAGCCTATAAAAAAGAATGAAGCCCCCAAAACCCAAAACATAGCGCCGTGCGCCCCCACAATGTAATAAATAGGTAACGAGCAAAACCATAAAATGCCGTATTGCTGTGCCAAAGTCAATTCTTTCCCCATAATGACAGTCTTTGTTTCCGTGTGGCGTTTGTTTATTCTATAACCTGCGTAGAAAGTGGCTGACAAGGCGAACAATATCAGTGGCGATGTTATGCTGAAATTATAGGTTATGTTGGTGTTAGGGGATATTTTTTCCTACTTACAGGCAGTATATTATAAGGCCCAAGAAAACAAATAAATAATTCGCTTGAAAATACTCGATATTTCGCATAATTCGTTTTCCCAACCGTGGTATTGAAGGAGGGGTTTTAAAGTTTGATGTTTGTATAAAAACCAACCAGGGGCGTACGTTTTGCCTCTGTTGTTGTATCCACTCTTTAGGATCGGGCATTTGAGTCGGCAGTTTCAAAAAACTACAAAAAATATCGTAAAAATACACGAAAATTTAATTTCGACAATTTACTTGTGGAAAGAATTTTTCTGGGGCAAATCTAGAGGCGCCTCCATCTCCCCCGTCACCTCCACTTTAACTTCCGTCATTTTTTAGACCAAATTGACGCTGAATTACCTAAAAAACATTAAATTTGTTGACGTTTCGTCTTTATGTCAAAAATATTGACAGCTGTCAGTTGATCATAGACTTTAGAAGTTTAGATAGCAAAGAAATTTGAAATAATTAGATTAAAAGTTGTGTTTTAACATTCTTTATTGTGTTTTTGACATTATAAATTGTGTTTTAATCACATATTTAGATATGTGGTTTTAATTTAGCTGTCACTTGATCATAGACTTTAGAAGTTTGGATAGTATTTATTTATAAATATGTTATTAAGCCAAATCTCATTATAAAAACACAACCCAATTTGTGTAGACGGAAAGTAATAAATATTTTGGAGATTAGTCATCATTTTGACCTCTTTTTATTAAAAAGTCGTTAAATATTCTTCGCTTAGAGTATTAACAGTGGGATTATTCAAATTTTACCTTAATCCCATCACAATGCCTTTATAATTATACCTTGTTATGGTAAATTCGGTAATTATTATACCTATAATTGGTAACAATAGGGTAATTCAAAATCGCCTCTATTTGGCTTTGCACAGTTGCCGTTCTGGATTTAAACGGGACGCACCAATCAGGCAGGGGACGCCATCTTTGTTATCGTGCGACGGCACGCCATTGGCCGAATCAAAAACAGATGCCTATAACGGTTAAGTTTAATCAATTATTGATGCTTGTGGCGTTTTTTGCGGTTGTTTATTATAAAATTGTTGTTTTTGTGCGAAAAAATTGTGAAAAGTGTTTATTAGAATGTCGTTTATAAGGAGTTTGAAGGATGAGTTAGAGAATGCGTCGGATAATGAGGATTTCGACTTGTCTTCAGGTTGCGACATGAGTTTTGAGCTTAGCAGTGATAATTTGCAGTTAACCAGTCCGCAGGGTATACGCAGGATAGATTTAATGAATTCTGGGGAGAACAACAACACACCGGGGCCTAAAAACCCCTCGTTTAGCCCTCCGTACAAACGTGTGAGGGCTTTAAGACTGTTCGATAGCCCTCTCACACCAAAAACCATATTACAAAAATGCTCTACGAACACCCCTGTACCCCGCAGCAGACTATTCACAGACAAACCCAAAGCGGTAGCTTCGGCGTACGCAAAACCGGAACGACCTCTAGCAAACGTGAACCCCTTCACCCCAAACGGAATGCTTTTATCGAAAAAACGCACCCGCTCCATACGATCTTTGATGGGTTCGCCGGAAGTAAGAATCCCGAAGCTCGATTTGAGCGATGCCGACGTAGACGAGGTGGAAATACAACAACCCACAAAAAGGGTCGCTTTACAGGAAAACAACATCTCCCGATACCATCAAGAGTTCCTCGAACAAGAGCTAATAGGGGCAGGCCAATTCGGCTCGGTCTACAAATGCGTCAACAGGTTAGACGGCTGTGTTTATGCCGTCAAAAAATCCACAAAACCTGTAGCTGGAAGTGTTCTGGAAAAGACAGCTTTAAACGAAGTGTATGCACATGCAGTTTTAGGTTAGTTTTTTTATTTTATTTGATCAGTCTAGTTGGCCTTGTTAACTGTCAAAATCGCAAAATGACAGACCAAATGTCAAACTCCTTTGTTCTTTTGTCTATTTTATTGTTTGGAATACTTTTTAAGGTTTAATTTATTTATTTTGATTTAACCTTGTTAATTGTCAATTTGCTGTCAAAATGACAAATGTCAAATTCTTTTGTTCTGGCGTTATTTAGTTAAATTAAAGTGTTTGTGGCATTCTAAGTTGTGTTTTCACTGGTGAATATTTTTTTAGGCAAGCACCAGCATGTCGTGCGCTACTATTCAGCGTGGGCGGAAGACAACCACATGATAATACAGAACGAGTACTGTAATGGGGGCTCGCTGGCGGACAAAATCGGGCAGGAGGCGCTCAGTGCGGCGGAGCTGCGCCGATTTTTGCTGCACGTAGCGGAAGGGCTGCGTTACATCCACAGCGAGGGGCTGGTGCACTTGGACATCAAGCCTGGCAACATTTTTATATCGAAAGAGAAGAAGATTCACATTACGAATTATGATTCCGCGGACGATGGGTTCGAGGACTTGGACGATAATTCGCTGTATGAGGAAGAGTTGACGTATAAAATTGGCGATCTTGGACATGTCACAAGTTTGAGTAATCCACAGGTAAGTGCTTGCTTTTTTTCTTCTGTTATTTAGGTATCAAGATTTGAATTTTTAATTCAGGTTTTTTTCTGCTAAATTAATATTTCTTTTTTTTGTACTCAAATTGGATTTTTTTTTTAATTTTCTTTACCAAAATTGGATTTTTTCTTCTATAATTGAATCAGTGACATTAAGAACAGTCCAAAAATTTTATTTTGACAAATCATTTTTTAAATTATTGTTAAAAATAAAAAATTTGGCATTTGCATTTTCAATTTTTGTTTTTTATTTTTTACCTTTTTTGGAATTGGATTTTTTTAAAGAAAATTTGAAATTTTTTTTTTGATTTTTCTACCCAAAAATTGGATTTCTTGTTTGGTTTTTATTTATATTTTTTACTAAAATGGCAATTTTCTTTTTTTTTATTTCCGTTTTTCTGGAATTTGAATTTTTGTTGCCTAAATTGAATTTTTATGAAAGGTTTCTTTAAACTTTTTGTCAGAAAAGTTAAAATTTTGGTTTTTTGATTTTTCTATCTAAAAATTGGTTTTTATGTATTTTCACTAAAATAACACTTTTTTATTTACACTAAAATTGCAATTTTTGTTTTTTATATCTTTTGTGTTTTTGGAATTGGAATTTTTGTTACTTGAATTAAATTTTATTGAACTTTTTTTTAAACTTTTTTAGAAAAGTTTAAATTATTGTTTTTTTATTTTTTTGCCTAAAAAATGTGATGTTTTGTTTGGAATTGGAATGTTTTTTAATTACTTGAATTTTTATTGAATATTTTTAGAGGTTAAATTTATTGTTTTTTTTTTTAATTTTTACCTAAAAAATTGGATTTTCCGTTTGATTTTTTTTACTAAAATTGCAATTTTTGTTTTTTTATAAAACTTTTCTATATACTTTTTTCATAAAAGTTAAAATTTTGTTTTTTTAATTTTTTTACTAAAATAACATTTTTTTACACTTTAGTGCTAGGTATTTTTGTTTTTTCATTTCTTATGTATTTTTGGAATTGGAATTTTTAATTTTTGAATTGAACTTTTATTTACTCTTTTAGAAAAGTTACAATTGTTTATTTATTTTTTTGACCAAAAAATTGGATTTTCCGTTTTTTTATTTAAATACCTTTTACCAATGTTTGTTTTTTTATTTTTATATCTTTTTTATTAAAACTTTTTGTACAAACATTGCAATTTTTTTATTATTTCTAACGTTTTTTGGAACTGGAATTTTTGTCTGTTTTTGATTAATTTCTTAAAATATTGAAATTTTTGTTTTTTGTTTTTTTTCCATCAAAATTGATCTGATTTTGTTAAAAAAAATTTACTTTTTACCAAAATTGGATTTGAGTTTTTTATTCTTTTGTATGTAAGCTGTTTTACTTAAAAAATGGGATTTTTAGGTATTTTTTACTATTTTGATGTTTTCTCACTCAAAATTGCAAACTTTCCTTGGAATTTTTATTTTTTTTATTTCTTACGTTTTCTTGGAATTTTTGTTTTTTGATTTTTTACGTTATTTAAAATCTTTCAAAGAATCTCTATTTATTTTGTATACCAAAATTTGAGTCTTGAGTTGCTTTTTCATAATAACTATGTTATAATATTACATAGGGCTGAGTTTTAAAAATAAAAATTAAAAACTGGGTGTGCAAAGTTACCCCCTGGTTGCGGGTTACTTTGTCTCACAGTGTATTTTCCGTATAAAATGAATTCAATATTATATTTTATTTTTATTAGACACTTGTTAGCAGCGACATATATCTATTGCAAGGGATTACCAATAAAAAAAAATAAAAAATCGACCTGTAGTCAACCAAGGATCATCATTCCAATGGATTGCGCATAATATAGAAATTGTCACGCGTGTATTTCTAAGAGTTTTGCACTGATGCGATATATACAATTTTAAAGTGTAATAAATCCCATTTTTTTTCTTTAAAACACTGATTTTCCTGTTATATAAACTCAATAGAATCGCTCAATTGACAGGTTTAGACCAACAAATTATAAATGTTAATTTTATCGAGCGCGTAAAGATTTTTCATAAATGGGTTAGTCACCCGCGGGGTGCAAAGTCACCCGTGTTTACGGTACCCCAAAAACTAACTAACTAACACCTCTTATACTAAAATTGCCTTTTTTGTTTTTTTATTTCCAACGTTTTTTTAAAATTGGAATTTTTGTTACTTAAATTTGATTTCTTTTGAACTTTTTTTTTATTAATTTTTAAAAAAATTGATATTTTTGTTTTTTTATTTTTTCCATCAAAATTAGAATTTGTAATTTTTGATGTTTGTGTATCCATTTTTTTACTGTTTACTAAAATTGGATTGGAGCTTTTGTTGTATTTAGTTCTTAAGAAGATAGAGGGCGTCATTTTTAGTTTAAATCATGGAGTAGTAGATTTTCGTATTGCGCATGTCCTCATTCGACGGTATTTCTTGCAGGTCGAAGAAGGCGACTGCCGCTACCTCCCCAATGAAATCCTCCACGAAGACTACTCGCACCTAACGAAAGCCGACGTGTTCGCGTTGGGTCTGACGGCGCTCGAATGCGCCGGCAGCGGCCCGCTCCCCAAGAACGGCGACCAATGGCACGCGCTGCGCCGCGGGGAACTCCCCCCGCTCCCCCAACTCCTCACGCGCGATCTCCTCGAGCTCATCCAAACCATGATCCGGCCGGACCCCGCGCAACGCCCCGCCCCCGTGCAGATCCTGCAGAGCAGGGCGCTATCGCCCGAGAGCGGAAAATCCAAGGCCGAGCTGACGCGCGAGCTCAACGCGGAAAAGCTGCGCAACGAGCTGCTGATCAAGCAGCTCAAGGAGGCGACGATGTGCATCAAAACGATCGCCAAGGACGGCGGTAAAGGTAAGGCGGGCAAAAGTGCGCGGCTCTTGGGCAAGAACGTCAACAGGAGCATCTCGACGACCACCTTTTAATAAAAATTGAAAAAATTTAATTTTTTGACGAAATTTTTTGGATTTCAGTATTTTTTTTACCCCTCTTAGGTTGGAGAGAGCTTTTGGCAAAGTTTTAATCAAATCCAAATATAGTTACATCAGGCAACACTGTTATAAAAAATACAAATTAACAAAATAATCTACGCTTAATAACCTTCAAAATGACGTAACTCACAATATTCTACGATGTATACTTTCCGAGTTACAACGCTCTAAACGCCAAACTCACTTCAAAAACGCCATTTTACGTTTCAACCCGTAACTTCCAAACGCGAATTTTGCAAAAAACAAAATTAATCCACGATAATCGACGATTAAATTGATGCAAGTTGCAGTTTCGTACGATTTTTAGTTTTTTAGTTACAGCGCTTCAAAGTGAAAATTTACAAACGAAATGTAATTTTACGTTCTTAAACTTTGAACCGCTGTAACTTCCAAACAAAAAATCCTACGAAATCGTAACTAACATCGATTTAATCCTCGATTATCGTAGAATATTTTTGGCATTCACAACTTTTTTGTACGATGTTGCACTTACGAGATATTAACGTAAATGTAAAAATGTCGCCTTTTTACGTTTTGTCGCGTAACTCTGTAACCAATGTAGTTACAGTAAGTTTTTAATCATGAAAATATTCCACGATTGTTGAGGATTAAATTAATGCAAGTTCAAATTTTGTACGATTTTTAGTTTTACAGTTGCAGCCCTTTAAAGTGTTAATTTACAAGTGAAATGTTCTCCAACTTTAAACTGCTGTAACTCCCAAACAAAAAATCCTATGAAATTGTAATTTACATCAATTTAATCCTTGATTATATACAATATTTTTGTTCTTTGCAATTTTTAGTACGATGTTGCACTTACGAGGTATTAACGTAAATGTAAAAATGTCGCCTTTTCACATTTTGTCCCGTAACTCTGTAACCGTTGTAGTTACAGCAAGTTGTAAATTATAAAAATATTCCACGATTGTTGAGGATTAAATTAATGCATGTTTAAATTTTGTACGATTTTTAGTTTTACAGTTGCAGCCCTTTAAAGTGTAAATTTACAAGTGAAATGTTCTCCAACTTTGAACGGCTGTAACTCCCAAACAAAAAATCTTATGAAATTGTAACCAACATCAATTTAATCCTTGATTATCGTACAATATTTTTATAATTTACAACTTTTTTGTACGATGTTGCACTTACGAGGTATTAACGTAAATGTAAAAATGTCGCCTTTTCACGTTTTGTCGCGTAACTCTGTAACCGTTGTAGTTACAGTAAGTTGTAAACTATAAAAATATTCCACGATTGTTAAGGATTAAATTGGTGTACGATTAAATTTTGCACGATTTTTAGTTTTGGAGTTGCAGCCCTTTAAAGTGTAAATTTACAAGTGATATGTTCTCCAACTTTGAACCGCTGTAACTCCCAAACAAAAAATCGTGTGAAATTGTAACCAACATCAATTTAATCCTTGATTATCGTGGAATATTTTTGCTATTTACAACTTTTTAGTACGATCGAACACTTACGAGGTATTAACGTAAATGTAAAAATGTCGCCTTTTCACGTTTTGTCGCGTAACTCTGTAACCGTTGTAGTTACAGTAAGTTGTAAACTATAAAAATATTCCACGATTGTTAAGGATTAAATTGGTGTACGATTAAATTTTGCACGATTTTTGGTTTTGGAGTTGCGGCCCTTTAAAGTGTAAATTTACAGGTGAAATGTTCTCCAACTTTAAACCGCTGTAACTCCCAAACAAAAAATCGTGTGCAATTGTAACTTACATTAATTTAATCTTTGATTATCGTGGAATATTTTTGATATTTACAACTTTTTTGTACGATCGAACACTTACGAGATATTAACGTAAGTGTAAAAATGTCGCCTTTTTACGTTTTGTCGTGTAACTCTGTAACCGTTGGAGTTACAGGGTTGTTGTATTGGCGTTAATATTCTACGATTGTTGTGGGTTACAATTTTGTAAAGCTTACAGTTTTGGAGTTATTTAACTAAAAAAACATGACAATCAAAGTCATCTACACAGTGTTGCTTGATGTAGCAATAGTGACTTGTAATTTTTTTGCAAAAAAATTAATTACTAAATAATTTTGCCAAAACCTGTTGAATTATGTTTTATTAATAAGAAAAACCTTTAAAAAGAAAAATTGACGTATTAATTATGAGGTCAAAATCGTGTTATATAAAAATGGTGCTTGGCTTTGTTCCCAGTTAGATTTTAGTGGAATAGAATAGAAAAAAAATAATTTTTGTAAGCTTTAAAATTAGTTTAGTTTTTAAGATTTTTTATTATCCTTTGTGGTTTTTCTTATTAATTTTCTCTTTGATCGATTTAGTCCAAATGAGTCATTTTCTTAATCTAGTTGAGACTATTTTTAATGCTGTGTTTCCATGTGATTTTAAATTGTAAATGTACATTTTTTTGTTGATTTTTCACGAATTAATAATAATACTGATAATTAACTTCATTGTTGCTTCCAGATTGTTAGACTTAGGTTTATTATTATAATATTATGTGTAAAGTACTTGTTATTATATTAAATCATGTGATAACTTTAAGTGGCATTCGTCATATTTCTTGATAAGTTTTCTTTATGTAAATGTTAACTTTTAATAATAATAATAATATTGATTTTAGATTTATTTTTATTTTATATATAGTATAGGCAACTAATGTAACTTTTTCTACAAAACATTCCTACTACTTTTTTATTTTTATTTTATTTCGCCTTATTTGCATATTGTAACGTTTATATTAATAATTATTCACGTTTATTTTGTATAAAGTACCGAATAAATATTTTTAGTAATAACAAATCGTTTCATTTTTAACATAACCAACAATAAACCACCAACTTGTGCGTTTGGAACAAAGATATTCATCGGGTCATTTGAACTACTGCGATGAGTGACGCAAATGAAGTCCACAAAAATTATATAAAATATTCTACGTTTTTTGAGGATTAAATTGGTGTAAGTTTAAATTTTGTAGCAATTACGAGTTATTGGAAAAATTAATGGTTAAAATAATAAATAAAACATAAACAATTAAACTTTTTTTATTTGAAATACTTTTCCCAAAATTAGGAACCAAATTTTTGTGAAGTCAGTCTTAATTAATAATTAAATCTTAGTTGATAACAAATAATTCTAAGTACATATAAATTAAAAATATATACAAGTTTTTATTTTTTTACAGGTGCTAATTAATAATTATATTTATTTACAGTAACTGGAATTAAATGGCAGAATTTTGCTACTAATACTAATAATAGGTATATACAGGGTGAACAAAAAGACTCCCACCACACATCAAACATGAGAAACTTAAATTACTTTTAATTTTTGGTACATTTTTATAGGCGTCTTTTGGACTCACCCTGTATGTATAGGCCCAATGTTTTTACATAGTATTATTCTAAAAAGTGTTCCATAAGAAGCTAAAATAATTTTTAGATACTCAGTATGTACAAAAAATCGCACAAATTTTTACAATACATATTTTTCTACGCAACTGAGCTTTTTATTGCAAAAAATATCGAGAAAATAGCACATGGAAAAAATTAAAAAATCACTGGTTTTGAAAAAATTTATTTTAATGTTTTACTTCCTTTTGTTCAGTAAACCTGCAAACACCCAGTAGGGCCAACGTAAAAAAAATAATTTTCGAATGTAACTTGGATTTTGACAGCAGGTCATTATTGCCAACTTTTTAAAACAAAAATTGACCAAACCCACACTTTATACAACATTTTTTTTATCCACACTGTATATTAAACTGGCCACGTAAAATCCAACATTTTTTAATAAAATGAGCGATAAAAATCGCGAGTTGAGCAATTCAATAAGTTTAACTAAAAAAATAATAAAAACTTATGTGCTGAAAAAAAAAATATATATAAATAATATTATTACATATATAACTATCTTTTTACATTATAATAATTATTAAAATAATCACAATCAAAGATTTGCACCAATCAAATCAAATAGCTGCCTTTAATTTTTAAGGAAAAAAAAACAAAAAAACTTTTTTTGCACTTACACGTGATTGGTTACAAAATACCGGGTTCATACAAAATTTGCATATTTTTGCAAAATATATCTAAATGAATGCTGCGTTTATATACTTTAATAAATACATATCACATTTTTTTGCTTAGTGGAATTTTTTTAATTCGCATAAAAATAAATAAAAATAATTTAAGTTTTCTACTAGTACTAAATAAGAAAATAAATAGGTGTTTTTTGTTAAGTAGTAGGTAAGTTTTAATATTTAAACGCAGCATTGTTTATTTTAGCCTCGATTTTTGAAGAAACAAATTACGTTCAGTATTTTACATCTACCAACTATACTATTGATGGTAGGTCAAAAAGTTAAAGGAAAATTTTGTAGAACATTTAATTCCCCACAAGGAAATTTGACGTACTACAAAATTGCTAAAAAACTTTTCGACCTATTATCAATGGTTTAGTTTGTAGACCTAAAAATCGCAATCAAACTTGGAAGAAAATTACGTTTGAATATTTTAATTTCGTTTTTTAGATTTACAAAGTAAACTATTAATGGGAGGTCAATAAGTTAAAGGGAAATTTTGTAGAACATTTAATTCCCCACAAAATGTCTCCAAACAAATTTTTTGTATCATTAATAGTTCAAAAGTTATACGCTTATTAAGTCCAATTTTTAGAAGAAAAAAATTAAATTTTTTAAGTGAGTATAACTTTTTAACTATTTGATATACAAAAAAGTTGTTGGGGGGAATTTTGTAGGGAATTTGACGTACTACAAAATTGCTTATTGACTTTTTGACCTATCATTAATGGTTTAGTTTGTAGATCGAAAAATAGCGATGGAAACTTGAGTGATCATGATCATTTTAATGGGTAGTTTCGAGGAATTTTTTTAGGCAAAATTGCAGAACCCGGTGCAATAAAACGGTGCAAGGACACACTACGAACGCGACACGACGAAATTAAAACCGTCACGATAATATCGAGTCCAGATCGAGCGGCGCTGCCGATGTCGTGGTGCTCTGTTGCAAATTTAAAATCGAGTCGATGGCCGATTGCACCTGCTCGTCGATGCTGTTGTTCTCCGGCTCGTTGTCGTCGTGGCTCGAGAAGGAGTGGTTGGCGCTGTCGCACGTCATTGAAACGGCGGCGCGTTGCCGATTCTTTTCGACGCGGAACTTCTTCAACGTCTCCAGGCGCGAATCGGTCGAGCTGAACGTCCGTTTCACTCCCGTTTCACTTTGCTGCGCGTGCTGCTGCTGCTGGTGATGCGGCAACCCCGCCAGCTCGCGCTGTATGCACGCCCACTCGTCGTACACCTCCTGCGACGTCTGCGCGTGCGCGTGGTTGGCCGGGGGCGCGGCTTCCGGCGGCGTTGCCACCAGTTGCTGCTCCAAGTCGGAGCGCATGCGCATCAGCGATTGCTGCTCGTCCGCCAAAAACATGCGGTCCAACATCATCAGTTCCGACGTGGGGACTTGCCGCTAAAAGACGAGCAGTACGACAATTTAAAATGATGACAAGCAAAAATCAAAGTCAAAAACAACGACCAAGTAAAATGATAACAATGACTACAATCTTAAATGATGGCAAGTCTAAAATAAGGGCAAGCCTTAATGATAACAAGTCAAAATTCTACGAGCTAAAATGACAAGCTTAAATAGGGATGACAAGGATAAATCAAAGTCAAAAACAACGACAAAGTAAAATAATAACAAGTCAAAATCAATGACAAGCTTAATAATAATAATAATAAAAATAATAATAATATCGACGAGCTAAAATAACAAGCTTAAATAGGGACAATTTAAAATGATGACAAGAAAAGTCAAAGTCAAAAACAACGACAAAGTAAAATAATAGCAAGTCAAAACCAATGACAAGCTAAAATGACTACAATCTTAAATGATAGCAAGTCTAAAATAAGGGCAAGCCTTAATGATGACAAGTCAAAAATCGACGAGCTAAAATGACAAGCTTCAATAGGGACAATTTAAAATGATGAGAATCAAAAATCAAAGTCACAAACAACGACAAAGTAAAATGATAACAAGTTAAAACCAATGACAAGCTAAAATGACTACAAACTTAAATGATGACAAGTCTAAAATAAGGGCAAGCTTTATTGATGACAAGTCGAAAAATCGACGAGCTAAAATGACATGCTTAAATAGGGACAATTTAAAATGATGACAAGCAAAAATCAAAGTCAAAAACAACGACTAAGTAAAATAATAAAAAGTCAAAATCAATTACAAGCTAAAATGACCACAATTTTAAATGATGACAAGTCTAAAATAAGGGCAAGCCTTAATGATAAAAAGTCAAAATTCGACGAGCTAAAATGACAAATGGAACTCACCATGCTTTCCTTCATGAGCAGAAACTTGTACTTGTCGACCATCTTGGAGTATTTCCCGATGAAATGCTTGGCCGTAACCTCGAAAATTTCGTCGGCCTTGTCGAGATCTTTTTCGCTCAATACGGGCTGTTCCATGCAGTGGTACCGAATTAAACGAACGCAGGCGTCTTTTTTGTCCCTGAACGGGGTGTTCAAGTCGGGGTTGGTGGCGCCGTTTTGGTCCATGGCCAGCTGTTTTTCGATGCTAAAAAAAAATGAAAATCTCTCGTTTATAATTTTTGTTTTTTTCGCAGCCTAAAGTCATACTCACAGGTGCGCTTTTTTCGCGAGAGAGTGCGCGGTTTGCTGCTGCTGCTGCTGCGCGGTTGCCGAGTGTTGCGGTGCGGGCGGCGCGGGAGCCGGCAACCGCGGCAGCAGGTGGTTGTGGTTGTTGTTGACGACGTGCGGCGTTGCCGGTTGCTGCTGTGGTTGCGGCGCAGGGGGCGCCTGGTTGACCGGGGCGTGCGCGGGCGGCGGATGCGGCAACACCGTCGGCAAGGACGGCGGCGGTAGGTGGTTGATGACGGCGGGCCGCGGCGTTGCCGGTTGCGTCGGCGCGATTTCCGACGGAGGGACGGCGATGCGCGGCACGGGGTGCGCAGCATTCGACACGATTTGCTTGAATGTTAAAAAAAATGTCTTTTTCAGTAAAAATGTCAAAAATAATGACAAGGTAAAATAACAACTAGTTAAAATAATGACAAACTAAAATGATGACCAGCTAAAATAAGTAATCTAGAATAAGAACTAGCTAAAATGATGTCAAGTCAAAACCAATGACAAGATTAAATAATGACAAGTCAAATATAAAATAATGACAAGCTTAAATGATGGAAAGTTAAAATTAATGACAAGCTAAAATGATGGTAAGTTTAAAATAAGGACAAATTCAAATCAAGACAGGTTAAAAATAACGACAAGCTAAAATGATGGCAAGTCCAAACCAATCACAAAATAAAATGACCACAATCTTAAATGATGGCAAGTTTAAAATAAGGACAATTTAAAATGATAACAAGCTTAAATGATGGTAAGTCTAAATAAAAACAAGTCAAAAATAACGACCTAGTAAAATGATGACAAGTCCAAACTAATGACAAGCTAAAATGATAATAAATTAAAAATAATAACAAGCCTTAATGATGACAAGTCAAAAAAAAAACAGGTAAAATAAAAACAAGTCAAAACCAATGACAAGTTAAAATGATGACAAGCTAAAATAACGACAAGCTTAAATGATGACGAACCTTAATGATAGCAAGTCTAAAATAAGGACAAGTTAAAATGATGACACGTCAAAAATATCGACCAAGTAAAATATTAACAAGTTAAAACCAATTACAAGCTTAAATAACGAAAAGTACAAAATGATGACAAGATTAAATTATGGTAAGTCTAAAATCAGGACAAGTTCAAATGAAGACATGTCAAAAATTAAGGCAAGTTAAAATAATAACAAGTTCAAATGTTGATAAGTCAAAAATTGACAAGATTAAATGTTTAAAAGTCAAAAATAACAACAAGCTAAAGTCGAAACCAATGACAAGCTTAAATGAGCGCAATCTTAAATCATTGCAAGTTTAAAATAAGGATAAGTTTAAATGATGACAATACAAAAATCACGACGAAGTAAAATGATAACAAGTCAAAAAAACGACAAGATAAAATTAGGACAGTTGAAAATGATGACAAGTTTAAAATAAGGACAAATTCAAATAATGAAAAGTCAAAAATAACAACCAGGTAAAATAAAAACAAGTCAAAAACAATGACAAGTTTAAATGATGACAAGCCTTAATGATAACAAGTTTAAAATGATGACACGTTAAAATACAATAACGACAAGCCAAAATGATGACAAGTTAAACCAATGACAAGCTTAAAAGATGACAAGTGTGAAATAAGGACAACTTCAAATGATGATAAGTAAAAAATAACAAGCTAAAATTATGACAAGTCAAACCAATGACAAGTCTGAAATAAGGATAAGCTAAAATGATAACAAGTCAGATAAATAAGAAGTCTAAAACCAATTACAAGCTAAAAAGATGACAAGTTTAAAATGACGACAAGCTAAAATGATGACAAGTCAAACCAATGACTAGCTTAAAAGATGACAAGTGTGAAATAAGAATAACTTAAAATGATAATAAGTGAAAAACAACGACAAGCTAAAATGATGACAAGTCGAACCAATGACAAGCTTAAAAGAAGACAAGTCTGAAATAAGAACAACTTAAAATGATAATAAGTAAAAAATAACAACAAGCAAAAATAATGACAAGTCAAACCAATGACAAGTCTGAAATAAGGATAAGTTAAAATGATGACAGTCAAATCAATTACAAGCTAAAAATATGACAAGTCTGAAATAAGGACAACTTAATATGATGACAAGTCAAACCAATGACAAGCTAAAAAAATGACAAGTCTGAAATAAGGACAACATCAAATGATGACAAGTTAAAAATAACTTCAAATGATAAGTCAAAAATAACAACAAGCTAAAATGATGACAAGTCTGAAATAAGGATAAGTTAAAATGATGAAAGTCAAATCAATTACAAGCTAAAAATATGACAAATCTAAAATAAGGACAAATTAAAATGATGACAAGTCAAACCAATAACAAGCAAGATGACAAGTCTGAAATAAGGAGAAATTAAAATGATGACAAGCTAAAATGAGGACAAGTCAAACCAATGACAAGCTAAAAAGATGACAAGTCTGAAATAAGGACAACTTCAAAAATAACAACAAGCTAAAATGATGAGTCAAACCAATAACAAGTCTGAAATAAGGACAACTTAAAATGATGACAAGTCAAACCAATGAAAAGATGACAAGTCTAAAATAAGGACAACTTAAAATGATGACAAGCTAAAATGATGAAAGTCAAATCAATTACAAGCTAAAAATATGACAAATCTAAAATAAGGACAAATTAAAATGATGACAAGTCAAACCAATAACAAGCTAAAAAGATGATAAGTCTGAAAAAAGGAGAAATTAAAATGATGACAAGTCAAACCAATGACAAGCTAAAAAGATGATAAGTCTGAAATAAGGACAACATCAAATGATGATAAGTTAAAAATAATTTCAAATGATAAGTCAAAAATAACAACAAGCTAAAATGATGACAAGTCAAACCAATGACAAGTCTGAAATAAGGATTAGTTAAAATGATGAAAGTCAAATCAATTACAAGCTAAAAATATGACAAATCTAAAATAAGGACAAATTAAAATGATGACAAGTCAAACCAATAACAAGCTAAAAAGATGATAAGTCTGAAAAAAGGAGAAATTAAAATGATGACAAGCTAAAATGATGACAAGTCAAACCAATGACAAGCTAAAAAGATGATAAGTCTGAAATAAGGACAACATCAAATGATGATAAGTTAAAAATAATTTCAAATGATAAGTCAAAAATAACAACAAGCTTAAATGATGACAAGTCAAACCTAATGACAAGTCTGAAATAAGGATAAGATAAATGACAAGCTAAAAAGATGACAAGTCAAACCAATGACAAGCTAAAAAGATGATAAGTCTGAAATAAGGACAACATCAAATGATGATAAGTTAAAAATAATTTCAAATGATAAGTCAAAAATAACAACAAGCTAAAATGATGACAAGTCAAACCAATGACAAGTCTGAAATAAGGATTAGTTAAAATGATGAAAGTCAAATCAATTACAAGCTAAAAATATGACAAATCTAAAATAAGGACAAATTAAAATGATGACAAGTCAAACCAATGACAAGCTAAAAAGATGACGTCTAAAATAAGGACAACTTAAAATGAGGACAAGTCAAACCAAAGACAAGCTAAAAAAAAACAAGTCTGAAATAAGGACAACATCAAATGATGACAAGTTAAAAATAACTTCCAATGATAAGTCAAAAATAACAACAAGCTAAAATGATGACAAGTCAAACCAAATGACAAGTCTGAAATAAGGATAAGCTAAATGACAAGCTAAAAAGATGACAAGTCAAACCAATGACAAGCTAAAAAGATGACAAGTCTGAAATAAGGACAACTTCAAATTACAAGCCTTAATGATAGCAAGTCAAAAATAAGGACAAATTAAAATGATGACACTGAAAATATCGACCAGGTAAAATGTAAAGTCAAAACCAATGAAAAGTCCAAAAAATGACAAGTTAAAATGACGACAAGTTAAAATAATGCAAGTAAAACCAGTAGTAAGACGAGTTAAAATGATGACAAGCTTAAGTAAATGATTTTGAATATGCAAAAAAATAATATAAAAAAGCACTTACCGGCACAGAAACTGGCGTCTTCACCCCCTCCACACTTCTAGCGACGTTGTTACCGGCAACAGCGCATGTCGCCGGCTGCGGCTGCGGACTCCTCGGCTCGCTCTTAATCTGCCCGGGACTCGGCAGCGGATTCACGTTGGGATTCACGATCGTCAGCTGGTTGTTGTGGTAGTAAACCTTATCGGGCGGCAGCAACTTGCCGCTAGCCAGAATCTTCTGCTGCTCGTTGAACAAAAGTTTCAACGCGTTCTGCATCTCCAAGTCCCCCGGCTGCATGCGATTGTTTAGCGTTTGTATCTGCACTTGGATGCTCCGCAAGTGTTGCTGTTTTTGCGGTGTTAACTCTATCGTTGTGATTGGTGGAGGTTTGTTGGGTTGCGGTTTTATTTCTTGCTGGTGGTGGTGGTTTTCCTCCAAAATCTGGTTGAACAGCTTGTCGACATTCTCACCGTTAGATTCGATTTTTTTGCTCTTGTTTTTGGTCGTTTGAATCGATGGTTTGCTGTTTTGCGGGGGGACCAGCATCTGCGGGGGGTTTTGCGGTTTGGGCGCCGGGCAGAGCACCTTCTCCTTGGGCGGTTCCGGAAGCGGTTTGGGCGGCTCGTCGTTCAAAAAATTCTTCACCGCGTGAATCTTGTTCGCCTTTTTAATGGGTTTTGATTTCGGCGATAATTTTTTTTCCGCGTCGTTGCATTTATTCGGGCGTTGCATAAAAATCGTTTGACCGTTCACCGTGACTTGCCCGTTACGCTTCAGCTGCTCCAGCTGATCGGGGGTTAAATTTACGACGTAAGAAGTGGGCGAGGCTTCTTGTGGCGGCGGCGGCGGTAAAGTTTGTTGTTGTATCGGTTGCGGGTGCACCGTTTGCACCGGCGGTTGACTTTTTTGAAACGGTTGCACTTTCAGAATCGGTTGCGTCTGCGTTTGAGTTTGCTGGAAACTCTGAATCGGGGTGTGCGTCGGTGTGTGTGCTGGCGACGATTGTTGCTGTTGAATGTGTTGCTGTTGCTGCTGCTGCTGATTCATCAAGTTTTGCAGGTGGTTTTGTAGACCGTGCATGGGCTGCACGATCTGCTGCATCAGCGGCTGACTCACCGTCTGGTGCTGAATCGTCTGCTGCACCGTCTGCTGCTGCAGGTTCTGAATCTGCGGCTGCTGAATCTGCTGCTGCACCGTCTGTATCGTCTGCTGCTGTATCGTCTGCACCGATTGCTGCTGTATCGTCTGCACCGTCTGCTGCTGAATCGTCTGCTGATCCATCGACGGTTGCAGCACCAGGCCGCCGTTTAAACCGAGCAGGCTCTGCAGGATCAGCTGCGACTGCAGATCCTGCGTCTGCAGCTGCGGGTCGTGCTGCAAAACCAACCGACCGTCCTCGCCCATCGTCAGTTTAAAACCCCCGCTGCTTCGCTGCAGCATCAAGCCGTTGTTGATGGTGAAATTAGGCGCTATGAAGGAGTTGAACGGAATTCCCGTTTGCGTTTGCGACGTGCTGTTAGAAATCATGCCGCTCTGGAAGTTCTGGTTCAACACTTGTACCACCGGAGCTGACAGCGGCATCGCCGATATCTGGATGTTGCCGAGTTGTTGTTGTTGTTGATGCTGCTGCTGTTGCTGTTTTTTCGATTCAGCGAGGTTCTGCTGGACGGCGGCCTGCTGCAGCAGGTTTTGGTGCTGCTGTTGCTGCAGCTGCAGCGGCTGCGGCGTTCCCGGCACGGAGTTGTGCTCGCTTTCGCTCTGCGAAGCGTCGCTCTCGAACTGGATGTCGTCATCGTCTCCTTTTTAAAAAAAAAAACCGCCAAAATGTACCCAACATTTTTTTTATAAAAATGAGCTTCATAAAAATTGATTTAGAACATTTCAGGAGCATCCGTGCAAAAACGACTTTTGTTTTCAAAAACTTTATGTTAAGGCCAAAATTTCAAAAAAAAAAAAATTGTATATAGCCGGTTTTGCTCAAAAATGGGAAAAAAACCTTTATAATTCAAAAATATTAACAAAATAAATTTGGTGAAAACATGAAAAAACAGAACAAATTTTACATGGATATAGTCGGATTTAAACAGAATTATCTTGGTTGTCGATAGAAATTAACCCAAAGATACAAAATCAAAAAAAAAAAAAACTGCATAAAATGGATTTAGCCGGTTTTGCACGGATGCTCCTCATTTTTAAACCAAATATGTTGTGATTTTTTGAAAAAACGTTTAAAATATATAGCAACATTTTTTTTTAATTTATAAAAATAGCTCAATTAACATTTATACCATTGTAACAACAGTTGACCACCTAATATTTTTCTTATATAAAAACCGCCCAATTAATAACAAAGTTACATTTAATACCATTTTTCAATGGTGCTACTAAAAGTAGTTTTAGATTATTTCTAAAACATTAATATTGTGATTTTTAAAAAAAACGTAAAAAAATACCACGTAATATTTTTTTAAATAAAAATCACCCAATTAGTAACAAAGTTACATATTATATTATTTTCCATTTTCCAATGATCCCAAAAATGGATTTAGAACATTTTTACACCAAAAATATTGGGATTTTTGAAAAACCATAAAAATATACCACGTAATATTTTTTTTAAATAAGAACCGCTCAATTAATAACAAAGTTAAATTGTATACCTCCAATGGTGCAAAAAGTGGATTTAGAAAATTTTTACAACAATAATATTGTGATTTAAAAAAAAAAGCGTTAAAAATATACCACGTAAATTTGTTTTAAATAAAAATTGCCCAATTAATAACAATGTTACATTTTATATTATTTTCCATTTTTCAATGGTCCCAAAAATGGATTTAGAACATTTTTACACCAAAAATATTGTGATTTTTGAAAAAAGCGTAAATATATACCACCTAATATTTTTTTTAAATAAGAACCGCTCAATTAATAACAAAGTTAAATTGTATACCTCCAATGGTGCAAAAAGTGGATTTAGAACATTTTTACAACAATAATATTGTGATTTTTGAAAAAAGCGTTAAAAATATACGACGTAAATTTTTTTTAAATAAAAATCGCATAATTAATAACAATGTTATTACATTTTATAATATTTTCCATTTTCCAAGGGTCCTAAAAATGAACTTAGAACATTTGTACACCAAAAATATTGTGATTTTTGAAAAAAAACGTAAAAATATACCAGGTAATATTTTTAAAAAATAAGAACCGCTCAAATAATATCAAAGTTACATTTTATACCATTTTTCAATGGGGCTAAAATTAGATTTAGAACATTCTTACAACAATAATATTGTGATTTTTGAAGAAAAAAAAAACGTTAAAAATATACCAAGTACTATTTTTTAAATAAAAATCGCCCAATTAATAAGAAAATAACATTTTATACTATTTTCTATTTTTCAGTGGTTCTAAAAATGGATTTAAAACATTTTTACACATTTTTATACCACGTAATATTTTTTTTTTAAGAACCGCTCAATTAATAAAAAAGTTCAATTTTATACCATTTTCCAATGGTGCTAAAATGGATTTAGAACATTTTCACACCAAAAATATTGGGATTTTTGAAAAAAGCGTTAAAATATACCAAGTAATATTTTTTTAAATAAAAATCGCCCAATTAATAACAAAATAACATTTTATTTTATTTTTTTATTTTTTAGTGGTTCCAAAAATGGATTTAAAACATTTTTACACCAAAAATATTGTGACTTTTTAAAAAAGCGTAAAATTATACCACGTAATATATTTTTTTATAAAAACCGCTTAATTAATAACAAAGTTACATTTTATACCATTTTCCAATGGTGCTACTAAAAGTGGATTTAGAACATTTTTACAACAAAAATATTGTGATTTTTAAAAAAAGCGTAAAAATTTACCACAACATATTTTTGTATTATAAAAATCGCTCAATTAATAACAAAGTTACCATTTATACCATTTTTGACCCCCCAAAAGTTCTAAAAATTGATTTACACAAAATATGTATTGATTTTTAAATAAAGCGTTTAAAATACACCACAAAACATTTTTTTATATAAAAATCGATTAAATAATAAGAAAGTTACAGTTTTTACCATATTTAACCACCCAATGGGTCGTTTGTGAAAAACTGCAATAACTTCGTTAATTTCAGTGCGATTTTGACCAAATTTTCAGGGTATACTAAAGAAATAACGCCCTCTTCAAAAAATAATAATTAAAAAATTTTCTACCTATTCCAGATAGTTTCATGATGTTGGCCAGATCCAATTTTTTCTTCGGCTTCTGTTTCGGCTTCTTCTTTATAGGCTGCGGCTGTTGGTGCTGATGAACGTTGTTGACTATTTGCTGCGAAATTTGCGCTGCCGTGATTGGCTGCTGATTCGCCATCTAAAAAAAAAATTGAAAAAAGTTTATAACATTTATTAAACCGTCAAAAATCGAATTTCGCTTACGTGCGTGACGTAGGTCGTAGTGCTGGGCGCCAGCTGCATCCCGTTGGTCAAAACCCTGACCATGGGCTGCGATCTCGGGATGTGCAGCAGCTGCTGACCGCTCTGCTGCAGGATCAGCCCTTGCGGCGTTGCCGTCGCAGCTGCGGGCATCTGCGGTTGTATTTTCGTTGCCGTTTGAGGCCGCAGAATAAACTGAACGCCCGGCCCTGTCAACATCGTAGGCATCTGGTTGAGCAGCAGCGGCTGCGCAGTGGGCATTATGGTCGCTTGCTGGTGGTTTGGTATCACAATTTGGGGACTAAATAAAGAAGAAATAACGTAAAAAATCGGGATATCCACGATCAAAAACAGAGCAGGCAATGGAAAGAACAAACGAATGAATGAAATGTCAAAATCGGCCATGACAGATAAGAAACGTCAAATAATTATGTCAAAAAAGTATTCTTTAAAGAACACAATAAAAAACACAAAGATTAATAAAAGAAAACAGTTTTTAAATTGCTTGAAAAGTCGTTAAAATCGATAAAATAACATAATATGTTGAATAAATCAAGATATCCATGATAAAAATCGAAGCAAAGAATGAATTAAATGAATAAATGAAATGTCAAAATCAGCCACGATATGAAACGTCAAATAAATCTGTCAAAAAAGAATGAAAAACAAAGAAAATGTGTTTTAAAAGTAGTCTATAAAAAGCACAATTAAAAACACAAAGATAAATAAATAATAATAAAAGAAAACTGTTTTTAAATTGCTTGAAAAGTCGTTAAAATCGATAAAATAACATAAAATGTCGAATAAATCAAGATATCCATGATAAAAATGGAAGCTGGCTATGCTAAGAATAAAACAAATGAATGAATGGAATGTCAAAATCAGCCGCGATAAGAAACGTCAAATAATTCTGTCTAAAAAACAACGAAAATGTGCTCAAAAAGTATTCTTTAAGGAACACAATAAACAACCCAAAGATTAATAAAAGAAAACAGTTTTTTTTGCTTAAATAGTCGTTAAAATAACATAAAATGCCGAATAAATCAAGATATCCATGATAAATTCGAAGCTGGCTATGCTAAGAATGAATGAAATGTCAAAATCAGCCATGATAAGAAACGTCAAATAATTATGTCGGTAAACAAATAGAATCAACATAACCCTAGTTTTTGATCAACAATTATATTAAAAATAGTGAAAATGTAAGTAAATAAAAACTGATATTTATTATATAATTGTAAAAACTGTCTTACCTAACACTGGGTTTTGGTGATGGTTGCGGGCTAGCTGATGGTTTGGGCAGTATATTTAAGTGTGGTTTCAGCTTGATTATGTTCTGTGGTTGGCTAGTTTGTATCTGCCTGGCCAGTAACGGGTGGTTGTTGTGTATTATCTGCATGACTGGGAAGTTCGGTTGAGGTGTTGGTGGTTTTAAACTGGGAGAAGGGCTTTTGAGGCTTGCCGGTGACGAGTAAGGTGATTGCGGGTAACTGGGCGACGGGTTCGAGTAAACGGGCGACATGTTGATGATGTTTTGGGGTTTCTTGACGAGGTTCAAGTTGTTGGAGCCCACCACGGTGCAGTTGGTGCTCAAATCGTACTCGATTTTTTCGTGTTTGTTAAAGGCGGTATTTTTAGGTGATTTGCACATTTTTGAAGCGTTTTTTTGAGACATTTTTCACCAAAATTACGCACTTTTTGCTATCTGTCTACATTATTGTTTAGCCGAACTCGAATAATGCCATTTTTTCGTTGTATGCTTTGAAAGAACAGAGCGAAGTCGGGAACATTATTTAACGCTCGTTTCGAAGCCCATTTTTCACTTTTTTCGCACTTTTTCCGCAACACAACGATTCTTCTTTGTTTCGAAGATACTTTTCCTCGCGTATAAGTCAGGATACCTTTGTAAATCTGAAACAAACGACGATAATGTAAAACCAAACATAACCTCTCACGAAATTGTCAAAATTATGCATTTTGGCGCGTTCAGCGTCAAAACAAACCTTACTTTCAATTAGACGAACATTTTCCGGTCGTTTTCGAGTCGAAATTCAGCGCAATTGTCGACACGTTTATTTGTTTATAAACAATTCGCAAAATTGCAATTCAATAAAGATATTAGACCGACGGCCATATTTAAATCTACTATGCTTTTTTATCCCGTCTGTCTGTGTGTATTACCACCCCTCCCCTTTAATTCGATAATGGAATGGCCCATTTAAGGCACAAAACGCTTTGTTTTAGCGATTTTTTGCGAATAAACGTCAAAATCCGCTTTATTTGTGTCATATTGTTGCTATTTTGGCAGTAGGTGGTTTCGAAAACCTCCAAAGTCGTAAAAAAAAGATTTATCAATCATTACGATCGTACTGGGTGGGGGTAAAAATGAAAGTCGTGGAGGGGGAATAACTACGTTAAAAATTGAAATAGGATGCGAAATAACTACAAAAGACCCTAATAAACAACAAATTAATCGACTAATTAACGGAATAATTATTTTTTTCGCAACTTTGATCGCTCTCGCGAAAAAATCGATATTATAACCCCATAAATCTGGATATCGTGCTCGGTTGCTGGCCATAGTGGCTCTGGGGCGGAAAAAATAATTTCCCGGAAAAAATAAAGTTTTTCCCGTTGAAATCGGGGCATTATAGAGAGAGAAAAGCCATTACAAACAGTTCAATTCAGCATAAAATGGATAAAATTCTACATACCTTTTAAAACGTCTCACTTGATAGGCACATTCGGGGTTCACCGATCGAGAATCAGGGAATACTCGCTTCCCATTGGTCGAGCGCGAGCGTCATTTGATACGAAAAAAAAGTAACAGCGACTTTGAGGTTATGATAACGCACAACCGACTATGATCTTTACAGCGAACGTCAACAAGTGCCAAATGTCAACAGATGGAATAAAACACGATCGTTTAATGGAAAATTTTATTAATGAAAATGTTATAAAACCTATTAGTAGAGTGATAAAAATAAATACAATTCACTTGCAAACCATATAAGATATGTACAAATTTAACCTATAAAAAATCTATGAACACTCCATTGTGGCCCATGAGTTAGAATTCTCGTTAAAACTAGGTATTTGTCCTGATGCGCTATTATCCTCCACACTAGATGTTTGTGCCTGATTTTCCCCCGAACCCTGCCCATTTTCCTGCTGATTCGGCTCCTCCCAGTTAATTTTAAACCTTGTAACCCTCGGCTCAGAAGCCAATATGTTCCTCATCACTTTATCAAACTGAGGGGGGCTCGGGGAATTTTCTTTCAACTCTGGGTCGCTATATTCATTATTAATAAAATATCCCACTCGAATGAACTCTTGACTTCTGTAGGAACAAGTTAATAGAACAACTGTAACCCCAATAGCATCATTTTCGGGAATTCTTGATACATTTGGTGGATCTGCCTAAAAAAATGTTATTAAAACGGTAAAAAGTAGTCATAATTCGCAAAATAATAGAAAACGTCAAATAATTCCATCAAAAAAGTATGAAAAACAACAAAAAATATACTTAAAAAACCCAGATTGATAAATTTACAAGAGAAAAAGTGTTAAAATTGCTTAAAACTCGTTAAAATCGATAAAATAACATAAAACGTCGAATAAATCAAGATATCCATGAATAAAAATTTAAAATCAAAGCTGGCTATGGATATAATGAAATGTCAAACAATGTCACTAAAACTGTTTTAAAAAAAAATAGGGTTATGTGTTTAAATGCTATTATTTTTAGTTACATAGGTAAGTAAATAGAGTTCCGCATTTTAACAACAAAAAACTACCACAAATACCGTTGTTGTAGCAATAATTTTAGGTTATGCTATGTTTACGTACTTGGAACACAAACATGTGTTTTCCTTCAGGTATGGGGCCTACGAATACGGAATCTAAGACTTGATCGTACTCCTCGCTTTCTGCAGAACCCACGTAAATCATTTTCCATTCCAAATCTGCAAAAAATAACCCCCTATATTAGCCGTACATAAAATAATGCAAAAGTGATAATCATACCTTCTTTCAGTTCCTCAATGCACTCGAACGTGATTTCGAACTGAAAAGGGTTCAAAAACTGGCTGGGGTTGTCCATAACAGTGATGTTGCATAGCTGAACTTTTGCCATTTTTCAACGCTTAAAAGTACAAGTTACGACGCAAAGTACAGGTTGTATCGAAGAGATTTAACACGATCAACGCGTTGTTTTTTCTTTGGGGACTTGGTAACCGTCTTGGGGGCAAAAATTGCGTCTTATTTCTCACAAAAACACTGCTGCTGCTACGAAGAATTTATGGCGGTAAGAATTTTTCTTGGATGGGTTGCCAACTGAAATAATAAGCGTTGCCAACTGCTTTAAATGTCACTAGATTTTGTGTTTTTAATGTTTTTTTATTATTTTATTGTAATTATTCCTATTATACATTAAGAAGTTTATTGTAAAGTATTAAAAAACCTTTCCTGGATTTAATTGCTTAAAAAAGATAAAGGATATTATTATTAAAATGCTGAAAAGAAGCCAAGAAAAGAAAATACAGGGGCGTACTTTAAGAAGTAAAAACTCCAATAATTTTGAATTTGTTGAAAATTACAGATGTGGGTAATGTCACAATCCACACAGTTGTGTGGATTGTGGGTAATGTAAAGTTAAAATTTGTTCATAATAACAAAGTCGTTTTTGTTGTACAAGTATTTAATTGTATAAAAATGTATAAATATACATGTTTTTTGCTATTTGCAGTCCACCATATCCATATTTTGGTTACATTCTGACAAGTCGTCTACCATTGTTGTCAAATCTGTCTGAACGTCCACATTTTCGCTATTGGTTTCTCGTAGAACAGTCATAAGCTAAAAAAAATAATTTTTTTCAGTAGTTAAATTTACTGGGACGTAAGTGACACTCAGAGATAAAGAAGGTGACACTTACTTGAGGCGAATATTGTTCGACTTTTTCCAGCAAACTGTCCGAATATCCGGGTGAAAAGTACCGGACGATTTCGTCCGGGAAACACGAGTTTATGACGCTGATGTACTCGAACAAAGTACTTCCGGGTTTCGTCTCTATCTCCTGCACCTTTCTCAGCGCACCGGAAGTGACGAACAGTCTACGCGCTTTCGGGTCCTCCGGCAAGACCTACAAATAAACATGCACGTAGAAAATGCGTTTTTTCATTAGAGAAAAATTTTCACTGGAGAAAAAATTCCACTGGAGAAAAATTTACGCTGGAGAAAAATTTCCACTGGATAAAAAATAATATCCTTAGGAGAAATATATTTTTTTAACATGAGTTCGGACTTCCCTTATTGGTTAAGTACGGCCCTGCCTAAAAGAAAATCGATTCGAGTATTAAATTTTAATGTGTACCTATCAATCTAACTTGCCACGGTCCACCCATTTTTTACCTTAAATAAATTAAGAAATTACGAAGGCGTAGAAGGGACAATTACACTAAATTCATTTTTATTATTTAATTCTGCGTTAGCTAACACAGAATTAAATCCGCCATATTTAATTCTGCGTTAGCTAACACAGAATTAAATCCGCCATATTTAATTCTGCGTTAACTAATACAGAATTAAATCCGCCATATTTAATTCTGCGTTAGCTAACACAGAATTAAATCCGACATATTTAATTCTGCGTTACCTAACACAGAATTAAATGCAATTAATTCCGTGTTAGCTAACGCAGAATTAAATATGGCGGATTTAATTCTGTGTTAGCTAACGCAGAATTAAATATGGCGGATTTAATTCTGTGTTAGCTAACGCAGAATTAAATAGTAAAAATGAATTTAGTGTAATTGTCCCTTCTACGCCTTCGTAAGAAATCTATTTTCGGAATAAATAATTTCTAAATTTAAAATTTTATAGGATGAAAATACTTTAGTGTTTACTGAGAAAATAAACACTTAAATCAAAAATATTTATATGCGAAGTTCAATGCCCAAAATTAATCAAGAAAATGTGGTCAGTTTTCTAGGTGACCTTTAAAAAAAACAAGTCAATAAAAAATAGATTAAAATACTCGGTCCCATTAAACAAATTGGTATTCTATTAAAAAACCATTCACTTAGAAAATTGATACGCTAAACAATTTGTAAATTAAATTTAAATTAGTTTTTCAATCAATAAAACTAAAGTTATATAAACAACTTTTATTCATTAAAAAATTTACATATCTTCCTATCTAAAAATTTTGGGTATAAACAATGTTTGTATACTTTTTTCAACTTGTTCGATTGATTTTATTTTTATAACATTGGCTGTACTTTTCAGTACAAAAACACGTATTTACAAACCTTTATAGAAAATCTACATTTATGTGTAGTGAATTTTGAAAAATTGTGCCAATATTATACAGCCTTTAATTTACAAAAAATAAGGCAATGTAGTTGAAAAATAAAGAGTAGAATACACATTATACAGGGTATGCCGAAAATGGTGCATGTTAACATGTATACATATTACAAAATTTAGCAATGCATTGGACGTCAAGGAACTTTTTGTTAATTTTTTTTAGTATAAAGTTTTACAAAAGCTTTTCTAAGGTTCTAATTATTTTAAATTAACCCTGTATACATCATAAGCATAGGATATGTCAGTGTTTATCCACTTACATAAAAACGCGTTTTTTCATTGGAGAAAATTTTTCCCATTAGATAAAAAAGCAAAAAACACTCTATTCACGTCCCGCATCCATATAAACTGTTTTTCCACTGGATAAAAAATTTCCATAGGAGAAAAAATTTTCATTGGATAAAAAATTTTCATTGGATAAAAACACTATTCACTTTCGCCGTCCTGCTTGATGACGTTGTAGTTTGATTTTTTCGTCTTCAGCATCCTCAGAAACGACCCGAGCGCGAAAATCGACCGCCTGTGCCTCTGAAAAATCTCGGAGTACAGGGTCTCGCGCAAAACTTTCCGGTCTATGTCCCTGTTTTTGTTGGGCGCCGGCGTCGCGGCGTTGCTGGGCTTCACGTCCATTTTTATTCACCGAAGTCCTACGAAAGGCGCTCGGCTAGGTTGTCATAGTGACGCGAGTAGAAGCGCGAGTAGATCGCGTCCGGATCTAGGCGGCCTAGCGCGGAATCTTCAGAGTAGATCTGGCAACGCCGGAAACGCTCGCTACGGTAGAGTTGGTCGAAGATGCGCTTGAAATCTTCCACTTTTTTCGTTTGGTAGATCTGCGAAAAAAATTGCGTCAAATTGGGCCGAAAAGTAGTTATCAAGCTAAAAAACTCGGCAACACTGTGTATTTCCTTCCATCGAAACGAATTTATGTGCCACAAAACGTTAATATAAAATCAATTTTAACCTTTTAACCTTATAACAGGAAAACTACCAATAATTTATTTATAGGTACGCATTATTTTTTACATAAACATAAATTTTTTCGTAGAATGATGAAAACATGTTGCCCAACTATATTGCGTATTTTTAGTTTTTGTTTATTGTTATTTGCGAAAATATCTCTTGAATAACATTTTTGTTGACAAATTTTGAAATTGTATGTATATATTTACGTACTGTATTTCATAAAATGTTTATAAATTCAGCATTTATTCACATATACGTTTAAAGGAGTTTTTTCATTGGAGAAAAAATATTTTCCCATTAGATAAAAACTGAAAAAACGCGTTATTCATCTTCGTCGTTTATATAAAGCGTTTTTTCATTGGATAAAAATTTCCATTGAAGAAAAATATTTTTCTTTGAATAATATATTAATATTTTGTACGTAATATTTTAGTTTGTCTTTGTAGAAATGTAATGAAATAAAATTATAATCAATTTTCATGACCTAGATAATGTAGTGAACTTACCTGTCTTAATTCTTTGTTTATGACTTCCTCGTCATACAGTAGCCTAGTTGATATTTTGACAGGTACCAACTTTTTCTTGGGTTTTTTATTTTTGACTTCTTTTATATTGGAAACCTCGAAACCATCATTTTCCTGTACGTCCAACTTTAACAGGTTGAGATTTTTCCTCGAATATTTCGGTTTTAAATTCTTTTCTTCTGGGCTTATTTGCGGGGCTCTGGAGCCCAAAACGGTTAAACTTGCCGCGTGTACATAAAGTCCAGAGGCTGAAGCCTCTTTCATAGCTTTGATCGCACCTTTGTCTCAACAAAAACACTTAGTTCACTGTATATAAATTTAATTTTTTTTTAATAATAATTTATGAATAATAAAAATAAAAAATTTACTTCTTCCTCGAGTTGCTGATACAAACTGTATGACGTTAATATGCGAAGTGCGCGGTATGAAATCAATATTATTGTTGCGTCCTTGTTTAATTGACTTTAAAAGGAAAGGGAGATACTGGACAGGACCGTAACGATTTTTTTATACACTGGAAATGCTTACCTTACTGTATTGCCCCAAAACGTACTTCAATATATTTGGATCTGCACTGAATAATAGTGGTTCCAATGATGACAACAACATGCACTTTTGAAGACACAATTTTAAAGTATTTCTTGCCTTGCATTTTAAATCTTCCGATGATCTTGGATCTACAGTGAACTGGTTTAGCCTACGGGTAAATTTGTTTATTATATATTTTTTTTAAATTAGTAAAAACTCACTTGTCAAAAATTCCGGTGACAGCGATTGTATGGGACGTTTCAGGGCTATGTTTGCCAATCTGTCCCAGGGTCCAAGTGGTGACGCATAATAGAGGATCGTTGTTTGATTGGTTCAAAATATCGACCAATGAAATCAGTAGGTTGCAATTTAGTTCGGACATGGCCAGCTGTTCAGAGTGACCTATGAAGAAAATATGTAAACGAATATACAAAATGATTTTAAAAAAAATACCCGCCATGAAACCCAGTGCCGTAACGCAGGGAATTTTCACGTCGTCATCACAGTGGCCTACAACTTCCACCAAGGCTCCAATTCCACCGGAGTTAACCACCAACTGCGTTAATTCCAACGAGTGCTTGACTATCTCTCGTATCAAGCATGCGGCGTTTCTCTTGACGTTTACACTGGGATGGGTGAGATGTATCAAGACGTCGGGGAATATTTCCGCTTCCACAACCACCTCGGCTATCTCCGAGCTGTGTTTTGCACAGCTACCTTAAAACACGCTTTAAATACGCAACAATTCAACAAAAAAACGTACTCAGGGCACATAACGTCTGTCGTTTCAACTTTTCATCAGTGTTTGGCAGATTTCTCACGATGTGACTGATGGCGCCCATGTCTACGACATTTTGGGCCAGTTCGCAGTTGTGCTTGGCTATGTCAGAGATGGCGCTGGTTGCTACTTGTTTGAGAGACAGATCGGGCTCTTGCAGACACAGAATTAGCAGGGGGAGGGCTCCTGCGTCCACGCAGCACTTCGCTAGTGCGGCGTTGTGACGCGCTATGTAGCCTATACCCCATGCTGCTGATTCTTTTACCTACATTTTGACGTTTTTTGAGTCATATATAACGTTGTTTTTTGGTTTTTTAAATTCTGTAAATTTTTTTAAATTCCTCACAAAATTTCACATAATTTATTATAAAACACAATTTTTCTATTTTGTATCGTTTTTGAGTTATTTTAGTTTACATACTTAGCACCCTTACGAAAAAATCATACATTACCCCATAACTCTTTTGTTTTTAAATATTTTAAAATTTTGTAAAATTTATTCAACTCCTCGTAAAATTTTACACGATTTTATTAAATGCACAATTTTTCTATCTTTAATGGTTTTTGAGTTATTTTGATTTGAATATTTGGCACCTTTACGAAAAAATCATACATAAGCCCACAACTTTTTTGTTTTGAAATATTTTAAAATTCTGTAAATTCTATTAAATTTCTCATAAAATTGTACAGGATTTCTTAAAATACACATTTTTTTTATTTTTCATAGTTTTTGAGTTATTTTGATTTGAATATTTAGCACCCTTACGAAAAAAACATACTTTACCCTGTAACTTGTTTGTTTTTAAATATTTTGAAATTCTGTAAAATTCATCAGATTCTTAGTGAAATTTCACATAATTTCTTTTAATACAAAATTTTTCTATTTTTTATAGTTTTTGGGTTATTTTGATTTAAATATTTAGCACCCCAACACAAAAATCATACTTTACCCTATAACTTTCTTGTTTTCAAATATTTTAAAATTCTGTAAAATTTATTAGATTCCTACTAAAATTTCACGTAATTTTGTATTGTACAACATTTTTCTAATTTTTATAGTTTTTGAGTTAATTTGATTTAAATATTTAGCACCCCAACAGAAAAACCATACTTTACCCTATAACTTTCTTGTTTTCAAATTTTTTTAAATTCTGTAAAATTTATTAGATTCTTCGTAAAATTTCACATGATTCTTTGTTGTAGAAAATTTTTCTATTATTCATGGTTTTTGAGTTATTTCGATTTAAATATTTAGCACCGTTACCCCATAACTTGAAATTGACTCACATAAGTCTCAAAATCTTCCAAGCAAGCAACCAGCGTTGCCAAACCTCCGTTATTCACCACATAAGTTGCCGTTTCGGCGTCATGTTTGCAGATAGCTCTGAGCACGAATAACGTGGCTTTTTTTTGTTGTTTCTGCAAACGATGTGGAGAATTTTAAGATTACTATGTTGACATATATATTATTACCGTCTGGGAGTGAATGCTGCCCAGTAAAACTGCCAGAAAGTTACTCTGCAAAAATTTCGCAGTTACACTGGGACTGCTTTGTAGAATTCTGCCTAGGGCTATGGCCGCGCACTGCTGTATCTGACTGCACGGGTCCGTTATGAGCCCTTTTAACAGGTCTAAGCAAAAATAAATTATATAAATGTCCACCCAAATATTTTTTTCTCACCCAGAGCGCCAGCTTTCTCCAGTGCGTCTATATTTTGCTGCTTCGCTGCTAGCTCCGCGACGTTCTGGGCAAAACATAAGCGGGCTTTTTGGTAGTTGTCGAAAATCGTTAAAATCGCTTTACTAGCCATGTTGAAAGTCAAAAATGACAAATGCCAAAAGAATGCACCTGGTACTAAGTCTTAGTACCATGGTACTAAGTCTTGGTGTAAATAAATAAAACATTGTATGTACAAAACTATCATTTAATATCACTATTTTCTCTTAAAATATTTCTCTATGTCGCTAAAGGATTTGCCAAGAGTTTCTGGAAGAAACCAATACAAAAAGGCGAAACCCAATAGGTTTATTATGGAAATAATGTAGAACAGGTGTTGTAAAGTTACAGCTTCCAGTATGTAAGGGAAAGATTTTAGTGTAAAAAACATAAAAAAATATGCCATTGAAATTAAAACACCTCCTAGTTTACCACGCACTTTCACAGGTAGGAGTTCACCTATTAAAGTCCATGGTATCACCAAATAACCTATGGACCCAAAGGTTACATAACCAAGAATACAAAACAGTGGTACATTATTATTACGTTCATTTTTTTGAACGTTAATTCTATCCAGCTCTGACTGTGGTAAGGCAGTGATATACATATAAATCCCAGCTATAAAGCTACAGACAGTCATACCTAGAGCTGAGAAAAACAGTAGAGGTCTTCTACCCACTTTTTTGGATATTATAGCTGACACAATAGACATCAAAAACCTTATTGTACCTGTAAATATAAAAACAATTAACTATAGGTATAAACTATAAAAAATACTCACCAAGCAATACCAAAGCTACAAATTCATCCATTCCCCTCCCAAATTGACCACCAATCTCTCTGAACAAATCGACAGCATAGAAAATAATAACATAGGCACCCGACATTTGTTGAAAAAAAAATATTAACAATAGTATAATCACAGGTTTATAGACTACAGGGTTTTTGTATATGCTCAAATTATTCCTGATCCTCAACAATTTCGAGCTTTCCGTTGCTATTTCCGTGTTTTCAGTCGATGATCTGGATTCGAGGATTTTTTGGTATTGGTGTTCGAAAATCTGCAAAATGTACTCTTTTTATAGGTGCAAAGATCTTTTTTGCAACTTTAAAAACAAAAAAGTTATCAGTACTTTTATCAAGACGTGTTTTTTTTTTAAATTAATAAATGCAGGGTTTTGGAAGAATGAAGATGTGGGGAATATTTATGAAGATATTAAAAATCTGATAAATTCATTAAAATGACGACACTTCCTTTAATGTATCCTAAAATTTTTATAAAAATCGTTGATTTCTATAGAAAGTTACACACCATTTAATTTTGTGATTAGATTTTTTGCTAAACCTCCATAACTCCTATAAAAACCAACCGATTTACACAAAAATTTGAGGGTATTTTAACAAAAAACTCAACCTCAAAAACAAATGACAATCACCTGATTATTTGAGTAAATCCACCTCAAAGATTTGGCAGCTTCATTGGGGTCATTTTTAAACACAACCAACCAGTGGGGCGATTCAGGTACAAAAAAGAGTCCTATAAAACTCAAAACGATAAGTCCGCAGAATACTAACGACATGGTACGCCACTGCAACCATAGACCTGCAAAATATAGATGGATATTTATCATAGAATATTTTTTAAACGTGAAAACGTACCCAATATGCAAGTTAAAAGAATACCAAACGATACGAATACACTGTTCAAGCTAAGTAACATTGCTCTTGTATTTTGGTGTGTTATTTCGCTGACGTACACCAATGAGACCGTCGTTAAGCCTCCACTAAACCCCGCTATTATTCTAGCAGCGTAAATAAACCAAATATTCGAAGCAAAAGTGAATAAAATCGAAGAAATTATAAAGGGAATTGTTGTTAAAATGCACATTTTCTTTCTTCCAAATCTGTCCATCAAAGGCCCTATGATGAAAGACCCCAAGGGTAGAGCTATGGCAACAATGCTGGCTTAAACAAAAACACATATTAACACCAAAACAACTTGACAACACCGCATAATTTACCTATCCATGAGGCTTCAGACTTCGTGATTTTTATGTCACTTTTCTGTTCGTTTAATTGCGGCAGCAAGATGGCGCTGAACGCCATGTTTATGCCTACCTGTATCACCAAACTTTGTGCTATGCATGATGCCAAAATCTGGAATAAATCGAGCATGTATGTATTGGGCTTTAACTATAGAGATGATTTTTGTATTTTTTTTGTAATTTTGAAGCTCTGTAACTCCTACAATATTAATCGAATTTTTATAAATTTTTTAGGCATTATGTAAAAATGTATGCCCTTTAATATGACGTTTGAATTTTTTTGATACCTAAAAAAACAAATGAATAAAACGACATTTTACTTGGTATTGTTTTTGTTTCAAAAAAATGCAGCGTTTCGTAGATTTAAATTTTTTGGAGAAACTAATAAAAATAAAAAAATACGGTTTTCGTCATTTGATTGGGCGTATTTTTTTCTATATACCCTTAAAATATCGTAGTAATCAAAAATATAATAAGAAAGTTATGTTAGTTCAAAGTCAACATACCTACCTATATGTATTTTTATACAGAAATGTAAAGAACAACGTCTTCTATAACGCCCTGTATCTTTTTAAGGATGGGTGGGATTTTCATAAAATTTTCAGGGTATGTTAACCAAAATACACAATTTTAAATGATGTTCATAGTTTTTTGTTATCTTCAAAAACTACAGGGGTATTCAATGTTTTATACCTAAGGTACCATAAAAGATTGTTTTCACTAACCTGTCTATATGAGTCTCTCCAAGTGATATTCAAAGGTTTTCTGTAAGAATTATTGGAAATAACGAAAACACTGTCGTCCACCAAACTGCTTTGTTCCCCAATTTCATTTTCTGCATTTTGAATTTTTTCGGCCATGTTGTTTTAATTTTTAAACATCTGTAAACAAAGCTGAGTTAGTTGAGTTCAAGATAATCACAACATGTGTGCTGCAGGAATTATTGTAATTACCAAGTGGTGACCTTTATTTGTTTTTCATGATAACACAGACAATAATAATAATATAGGCAACACAGCATGCACTGTAAATTTGTCTTGGTCAATTGTAATGCCCTATATCTGCGTTGTTTGTAGGGATAAGAAAAAACTGCTTTTTTCATTGGAAAAAGCACACTTTTTTATCAATGTTAATTTTTTTTTTTTAGTATATGCTATGGTGCCGGATTTATAGGCAAAAATAGTTTTTTGATTTTAGTGATTGTTTTCTTAAATTTGAAGCCTTGTAACTTTATTGATGGTGTTTTGTTATGTGTTTTTTTTCAGCTTTTACTAAAAAAAATGTGCCCTTTTCACTGGTGTAAACATTTTTACTGTAACTCCATTATTTATTTAGTTATTTGTGTTTTATTAAACCTCTGCATTTAAAGTTGCACAATAAAAAAAACACCCTGTATACCTTTTAAAAAGTTTTTTGTAATTATTTTTTTAATAAAAACTTACCAACTTTAATGTTCACAGTGTAAATTACTTTGCTAGACTACTTTTATTGACAATTGTATTTAAATTTAAATTTTACAAACATGTTTTATTTTAAGTCTTATCTACACTTATTTTTAAATTTTACTACCTGGATTATGTACATATGTAAGTAAATGATTATATAAACGATTAGTATGATCTATTTTTTCTTTTTTAAATATTTTAAAATTTTATTAAATTCAACAAAATTTCTTTTAAGGTTATAACTTTTTTGTTTTTCAATAATTTAAAATTTTGTTTAATTAATTAAATTTGTCGTAAAATTCCACACAACTTCTTATTTTACACAATTTTCTATTTTTTTTAGTTTTTGAATTATTTTGATTTTAATATTTAGCACCCTTACGAAAAATTCATACTTCATCCCATAACTTTTTTATTTTTAAATATTTTGAAACGCAGTAAAATTTACTAAATTTGTCGTAGACTTTTGCACAATTTCTTATTTTACACAATTTTTCTACTTTTTATAGTTTTTGAGTTATTTTAACTTAAAAATTTTGCACCCGTACGAAAAAATCATACTTTACCCCATAACTTTTTTGTTTAACAATATTTTAAACTTCCGTGAAATTTATTGAATTTGTCATAAAATTTTACATAATTTATAACTTTGCACAAATTTTGTATTTTGTATAGTTTTTGAGTTATTTTGATTTAAATATTTAGCACCCTTCCGAAAAAATCATACTTAACCCCATAACTTTTTTGTTTTAAATTTCTTTAAAATTCCACATATTTTTTTAGTATAATTGGTACCCCTTTTTTATAATAGGGTCGATATTTTACCATGGCTACATCATGATAGAACAATACAAACAAAAGTCAGTCAATCGATTTAAATATATGGTTTAAAAAGTAGTTTAAACGTTGTATAAAAAATGCCGGGCCTACCAGATACGATGTATTGCTCTGAGCAGATATGTATACCTCCAACATTTCCATATTTGCTTAGGCAGTACGCTAAGGCAGCCATAAGAAGTCAACCTACAGATTTACTTAGGTAGGTTGTAACAAAAATATTTATCTCCCTACACAGGGCCGTAGCGAGGCTGGTGCAGGCGGTGCGGTGCACCAGGGCCCCCGACCTCAAAGGGGCCCCCAAAACTAAAAAGTTTTACTAAAAAATCGTAATTTTCGATATCCTATCCCATCCTAAAGTTTTGCACCGGGGCCCCTGAGTCCGTCGCTACGGCCCTGTCCCTACATATTATCATTTATTATTATTATTATTACAATAGATGGTCTACGGCTTACTTCAGATGCCTATCACTGAATATCCCCCCACCTGTCAAGCCTAGGCTGGAATACCCCATACCAAGATCTCACCAAGGTATAACCCCAGGTTGGCTAAAAGCATTACTGGGTCAGCTACCATCCACTAACACTGTGGACTTTAAAGTGCTATGGGACCGTTGGATTGGAGCTTGCCTGGAACACGACACTTTAATACAAATATTGTGTTTGGGGGGGTTCACTAACCCCATGCAAATACCTTGGTTAAGGTTTTTGGGGCTGTGTGCAGCCCATTTAACAGACGTAAGAAGACATTACAAGTCTAGATAAAGTTATATTGTATTTTTCAGGATTTGACTCATTCAATGATTTTGATCTGCGAGATTTTTACCGAGGAGCCAGAAGGAGGCAACGCCATGATACCAGTGGATGTTTTTTTGGACTTGTACAAGTTTCTGGCCTCCATTGATGCCTCCCAGGATCAAATTCTGAAGAACTATTACTTCACCGACAACTTGTTGGCATTATGGAAAATCAAGGTTGCGAAATTTAAAAAGGAGATTGAATTTAAGGATGAGACCGATGAGAGGTCTATTGTGTGGGGGAAAATTGATGAAATGTAAGTTTTTATTTTTTTTAGTTCTGTAACCACGGAAATGGCTGAGGAGGCAGAGATGGAAGAGGAAAAGAAAAAATCTGCAGACGATATAATCTCCTGTCCCAGCATAGACCAAGATCGTGATGATTTTCTGCAATTCATGGATGAAGGAGGGGAGGAGAGGTAAGAGTACAATAAGAAATTGTGTGAAATTTTACGACGAGTTGAATGAATTTTACAGAATTTTAAAATATTTAAAAATAAAAAAGTTATGGGGTAAAGTATGATTTTTTGGTAAGGGTGCTAAATATTTAAACCAAAATAACTCAAAACCTATAAAAAATAGAAAAAATGTGTAAAATAAGAAATTGTGTGGAATTTCATTAAAAATTTAATAAATTTTACAAAATTTCAAAATATACAAAAATAAAAAAGTTATGGGGTAAAGTATGATTTTTTGGTAAGGGTGCTAAATATTTAAATCAAAATAACTCAAAAACTATAAAAAATAGAAAAATTGTTTAAAATTAGAAATTGTGTAAAATTGTACGGAAAATTTAATAAATTTTACAGAATTTAAAAATATTTAAAAACAAAAAAGTTATGGGGTAAAGTATGATTTTTTCGTAAGGGTGCTAAATATTTAAATCAAAATAACTCAAAAACTATAAAAAATAGAAAAATTGTGTAAAACAATAAATTATGTGTAATGTTATGCCACATTTAATAAATTTTACGGAATTTCAAAATAAACAAAAACAAAAAAGTTATGGGGTTAAGTATGATTTTTTCGCGAGGGTGCTAAATATTCAAATCAAAATAACTCAAAAACTATGAAAAATAGAAAAATTTTGTACAATAAGGAATTGTGTGGAATTTTACGACAAATTTAATAAATTTCACACAATTTCAAAATATTAAAAAACAAAAAAGTTACAGCCTTAAAACTAAAAAAATTGGTGCTAAATATGTATTATAATATAGCGACAAACAGTCGACGATTACGGACGACCGGATTTCCGGTCAAATCGTAGAAGCTGACACTGTAGGCAAACACAGCCTCTCCGAGCAGGAAGCGGAACCCCCTCTCGAAGAAGAAACCGAAGAGAGGGAAGAAGGGTTGGAAGGGGAAGAAGAGGGGGAAGAAGAGAGCGAGAAGGAAGCGAAAGAGGACGAACCCTCTGAAGACAAGCCGAGCAGTGAAGAGGATTTAATAAAGGAAGAACCGGCCGGTAAGTGTTAGGTTAGTCCTCGTCGATTATGACTGTGGAGTTTCTTTAGAGGAGGAGCTAATGAACGAAGAGGAAGGTGAAGGGTTGGAAGAGGAGAAAACTGACGAAGTTGTGGAAACAATCATAGCAGCCAGGGCCTATGAATCGCTGGACACCCTGGATGGGAAACCGGACTTTCCCGATAGGACCCTGGCAGAAGACTTAAAAAAGTTGAAGGCCTTACAGGTTGAACTGGCGGGAGAAACGGATGAAGAATTGGAAAAATACAAGTGTCAACTTATAGGCGACATGCCCATGACTTCTGACCAACAAATGGCCATAAAGTACTTTCAAGCTCCTGACAGTACTACTGACCATCCGAGTACTGTCTCTGACAAAGATAGACGATCAGAAATGCCTCCTGAGGACGATGTAAGACCCAAAGGTAACAATAATTTTAGTTCTTATTTTTTTTTACCTAGGGAGTTCTTTATGAGGACGTTTGGGTGCCTAGAGTACCAGGTATAGGTGGGGTGGTACCCATGGCTTTGGTACACGCAGTGGAAGATTACATGAGAACAGTTGCCTGTCTACACGAAGGTATGGTGATGCCCAGAGACATCATCCACTACAGTTGTCCACCACTGGAATGTCCCATAGAAGAGAATTAATTTATTATGGGAAAAAATTATATATTATATATATACACTTTTTTTAATTAAATTTAATATATTATTATATAAAGTAAGTTTTATTTATTATTACCTACATTAAAAACAATTGAATTGAACATCCAACGCTAATAAATCAATATTATGTTAACAAATCCAAAATACTCGTAAAAATTTACACTAGAACATATTTTTAATTTTAAGTCTATGTTAGCTTTTACCATTTAGTATTTTTGCGTAACCCTGTATACGAAATTTCGTAAACCCCTATATTTCTTACCTTTAGAGCTACACCAAAAATTTAAAATCGATTTCAGGCTAATTTTTACCCAGCATTTCAAATTTGCAATCGAAAATACCAAAAAACTTAAAATAAAAAAACATTAGTTTTTCTAAGGATATATTTTTATACCGTGTATATTAAATATGCTATATGTTATAAATCCTTATTATTTCAGCTAAAGAAAAAATTTAAAATGCTTTTTGGGGTAGGATTGTGAATATATTAATATAAAAACAATTGAATAACATCCAACGCTAAAAAATCAATATTTTTGTTAACAAATTCAAAATACTCGTAAAAAATTACACCAGAACATATTTTTAATTTTAAGTCCATGTTAGCTTTTACGATATAGTATTTTTACATTACCCTGTATACGAAATTTCATAAAACCCTATATTTCTTACCTTTAGAGCTACACCAAAAATTTAAAATCGATTTCAGGCTAATTTTTACCCAGCATTTCAAATTTGCAACCGGAAATACCAAAAAAAACAAAAAAAACATTAGTTTTTATAAGGATATATTTTTTCTTAAACTAGCACCATTCAGTAATTTTGTGCTTTTAATAATATTTAAATTAATAACAAAATACAGCGTTCTATAAATAAATTCACCTATCACAAATGGTTAAACTTTTCGATTTTTTTTAAATACAATTCACTATATAATAAATTTTAATAGAAATATAAAAAACAATAACAGTAGTTGTGCAATTTTTGTCCTGAAAAAATATGATATAGTCCTTAAAAAAAGGACGGAAACCTAACCTATAAAATTATTTTAATTGTGACCTAAAAGCTTTATTTTTTTGTAGATTTATAGGAACGAATGTTTTAATTTTTCCCATTCAAACATTTGTTTATAAAGTTACAGACACTGTTAACGTAACTTTCCTTATTTTCCGGCAGATGTTTCACATGGAGGCTTTCCTCGTAGCACAGCGTTGTCACGTCTACACCCTGAGTTTTTCGGAACGAGGAAAATTGTTCTATGTCCTAAAAATGATACAGGGTGTTATAAAAGCACAAAAATACAGGTGAACTTACCGTATAAGGTATCAAATTGTCCGCCTTGGAGTAAATAAAATGTTGGGGCCAGTAATTTTTTTCATGTTTTAAATGTTCGTAGAGATTTGTATGCGTTACTTTTTTCGCAAATAATTCTTTAGTAATAATCTAAAAAAATAATGTTATTGAAAAAAAACACAATATTCACAGTTGTTACCTCGTATAGCCAGATCACAGAAATAAACATCGTCATAAATAATGACATGGAAATATTGTATATAGCATTTCCGCCCAATATGGCCGAAATTGCCCTAAATAAACTAAGAATTCGTTTTTTGCCTGGTGCAGAGTCAAAAATTATTCCTTTCACCTAAAAATAAATTTTGGAATTTTTTTAGTGCCGCGGCATGTTGTTTTTTGAAAATATCTCCTTATCTAGTGGTCGGGCGACATTTTAGGTTATAATAAAAATTGTAGATCATGAAATTACCAACAAAAAAGGTTCTATTCTATTTTTTGGGTACGGCCATCACGTTATGAGATATCGCGAAAACTGTTACTTCGCGAAGAAAAACCATTTAGGGCGATATCTCATTAACGGTTGGTCCTAGGTAAAAAATGCATATAACGTTTTTGTAGATAAAAGTCTGATTAACAATTTTTATTATTACAAAAAATGTCGTATGTGGATTTATACCTACCGGTATATCTTTAGGGCACTTATCCAATGCCATAGATACATTTTGGTATAAAAAGGCTCCTCCATTGGAAAAACAATGGATGATGATGGGGTGGCTGTCGAAATTTAAATCCAATAATAATTTTACCAATTTTTCGCCAATTTTTAACATCTGGTACCTTTTCCAGAATAGGCATTTCACTGGTGCGGTATATCTTAAGGTAATAAGGCTGGAAAATAAAAAAAAGATTTATCTCGTTCTTCTGACATTTCAAAATGTAGGTTATGGAAATTTCGGTATCAGAAATACTTTTTCTAGACTAATAATTTTTAAGCTTTTTTGATCCAATAGATCAGTTTGGACTTACCCCTTTTCCTCGTATATCTTCGAGTATTTCGCCAGATATTTGTCCTGGCAACCGGCCCACCCGAACAACAAAATCACGGGTATTTTTTCTTCGTTCACCACAAAAACAAAATCACTCTCTCCATTCTGTCCGTAGTTAAAATTCGGGTTCGGGAATTTGATGTGATATTCCAAGGTATCTCCGTGATCCGACATTTTGTTAGTACTGTACAGGCGCAAGTCCTTTATTATCGATTTTCCACGAATTTTCCGACCAGCTCCCCGCGAAAACCAACTCTGACAATCAACGAAATTCGAATTGGTAGAATGTGCAAAGCACAAAAAAGTAGATGATAAGGCAATTTTTAAGTAAAATGACGTTGATTTTCTCATTTCATATTCAAAATTATAGGTTGACAATAGGAAATGAATTATTACTACTTCGATATACAGGGTGTACAAATTCTAACACTGTTTTGTTATTTAACAATTTTTACATTTTATTTATGAAATTTACTATATTTTTTATAATCATACAGGGGGTCCTAAAATTTGCGGATATTAGTTTATATATAACAAAATTTTTATTGATGATATAATTTTATATCTGACAACAATGTAAACTCGAGTTATGTCAATGAACAATGACAGTTTTGAAATTGAAGTTGTTTTTTTTAAATATCTCCTTATCTAGTGGTCGGGCGACATTTTAGGTTATAATAAAAATTGTAGATCATGAAATTTTAAACAAAAAAGGTTCTATACAGTTTTTAGGTACGGCGGTCCCGTTATGAGATTTCTCAAAAAGTGTTACCTCGGTAATAAAAACATTTTAGCGCTATATCTCATAAACGGTTGGTCCTAGCCTAGGACTCCTAGGTGAAAAATGTATAGGACTTGTAGACAATTGACTGATTAACAATTTTTATAATAACCAAAAATGTCGTATGTGCAGTAGAAAGCGAGATATTTGTGAAAAACCAAGTGCCGCGGCAGTATTTTTTGCTAAAATAAAACAGGTGCAAAAAATATGTACTTTATCGACTAAAACAAGAATTTTATTTTTTAAACATTTGACATCTGATAACTCTCAGACTTATTTAACCTTATTTTTTCAAAATTTATAGTAGAGACCCTTCAGCTAATTTTAGCTGTGCCATTAAGTCAATGTATAAGCAAATAAACTTGTATTTTAGTGAAAGTTTGGTTTTTGAGCATCTATTTATGCTTAAATGGTGTATTATTTCCAAGTATAATGATAAATTCTTCTGAGAAACCAAATCACACCCAAAACCACTATCGTAGACCATTAAAATAGGCGATGAGCTCACTTAACTCTTGATACGCCCCTGGATGACGTGGCGCATGCGTATACAACGCATTTGACAGACACCGACGTTTTAACGAATTCATTATTGTTTGCCAGTGATTCGTTCGTGTACAACGTCGAAAAATCACCGTTTGAAACCCCCGAAACCAAGGAAAAAGCTGCAAAATGGTTACTCACATCACTAGCAAGGTAAGTCGGTTATTTTTTACGTAAATGTTTGTGCTTTCGTGGGGCTTTAAGGGCTTTTTACCGGTTGTTTTTGAGGCGCGGTTGACACGTTTTTTTCGAGCATTTTTTATCGTTCCAAGTTGGAATTTCCAACAACCTAGCAGAGTAATGCAAGGAAATAATTGTTGTACTTTCAAGGTTAACTTTTTAATATTATATCATTTTCTTATATATTATAGTTGTGGACGTACGAAGCAATAATTCAACAAATTAAAATGACGTATATTGAGTAATATAACCTCAAATATATAATTACAGCGTTGGGTGAAGAAATAGTTATTATAATCAATGATTACTGTAACAGTGTACCAGGGAAACAACTAAAAAATATATAAATTTGTCACATAAATTTATATCATATTTATAAATACACCAATGCTCATTTTTATGATTCAATCCAGACGAAATCGTGAATTTTCTAGAACTTGTTCTCTAAAAAAGCAAATATTTTATTTTAACCTGTTTTTGTTATTCTATAAAATGTTTGTTTAAAATATTTTCTCAAGATAAAATATTAAACTAAATAAATAATAAATTAGTGTGTAACCCTGCTAATCTATTTCCATTATTTATTTTAATTTTGTTAAAACCACTACTGTGAAATGAAATAGGAGCATTAAAATAATTGCATATTGATTGATCATTTTTAATGTAATTGAGGTGATACAACCAATTACATAGAAATTAGTATATTGGTCGTAAATATTACTTATATGGGTCATTCTGCAGAACATTGTTTTGTTGAGAGTCCTTTTGGCGCCTAAATAATCGATTTTCAACTGTTTGTCTCTTTTGGTTTCATATTCGCAAACGTATTAGCATTGGCTAAAGAATGACTTCTTCACTCAACTGTATTAGTTTATTTATAAAATTGGGTGGACATAATATTTAAGTTTTTAAACAAATATTGTGCAATTTACACTTGAATTTTTGTTTATCTAATAATATTAAGTTAAAATGAGAAAGTAAAAATTTGTAGTACATATTATATTTTACCAATAAAATAATGCAATTCACTGTTTATTATTATAAAAATCAATGATGTGTATGACTCATTTATGAATTCCATTTACGAAGGTCGACTTCCTAATATACACTGTTCAGGAAATAACATTTTCTAAAGGATTTACTGCAACATGACCTAGTCTCTTGTGTGGGCACTAGTTTTTTTTTACACCCTGTACTTATAATTATTATTATTATTAATGAAACATAGCGTGACACGTTTTGTGATTTTATCTTTTATGTATAGAAATTACGAAATACTTATTTGATTTAATATTTATGATCTTTCATGATAAACACTGATAAGTGTTTTTTATCAATTATTACAACGCATTTCAAGTACACATTAAGGTTAATATTTTTAAAATCCCTTTAAAAAATTACATAGTATAGGATTTTGAATATTTTATCTAGCCCAATATTAGCCTTCGCGGTATAGTGTTTGTGACTTACCCCGTATATTAAATAGCCAAATTCTTATTTTTAGAGCTAGATTAAAAAATAAAACGTATTTTTTGGCTAATTTTTCCTCGGGAATTCAAAAAATTGAATGATTTTTTTCCAGGATGATCTCGAAGCAAAATTGAACGATGCTGGTTCAAAATTGGTTATCATCGACTTTTTCGCCACCTGGTGCGGACCATGCAAGATGATCTCGCCCAAATTGGAGGAACTCGCCAAAGAATACTCCGACATTGTCATCTTGAAAGTAATACGAACAAAAAATTGTTTTTATTTGATTTTTGTGTTAACGACAATTTTTTTAGGTTGATGTTGATGAATGCGAAGATGTGGCTATGGAGTACAAAATTTCGTCGATGCCCACTTTCATTTTCATCAAGAACAAGCAAACAATCACCACTTTCAGTGGTGCCAACTACGACAAACTGAAACAATGTATTTTGGAAAACAAGTAGATATATTTTTCACTGTATTAAAAAAAAACGTACTTGAGTTTAAACTTATAAATGTTCCATATATTTTGCATAGTTTTTTAATGTATTGTACACAATTGTTCAAGTTTCCACAGTAGTAGTGCCTCTATCACAATAAAGTGTTATATATTTGTGTAATTTTTTATTTATTTACTTTGTTATCCAAAAATACCCAACATTTTTGAAATCCTGTCAAAAAATTAGGTAAGATAGCATTTTGAATTTTTCACCTAGCCTAAAATTTAATAAATAGTAATTTCAATACACCCTGTATACCTAATTAACCATATAACGTAAAATCGTTATTGATTAAGCTAGAGAAAAAAATAAAAATTCATTTCAAGGTAGTTTTTACCCAGGAACTCAAAAATAAATGTATTAACCGAATAAAAAATACATACATAAATTTAGTAATATAATTTTTATTTATTTAATTATTTACAATGTAACCCTAAAATCTACCACTTCTTTTACGCCCTGTATACTTGGAATCAGCCCTCGTATCTTTGCCTTGTTTTCTCCTCCTTTCTTTTTTCTCCAAAATCCAATTTCTACTTTTTTTGACGCTTTTACCTCTGGCCTGCTTTAATCTGTCACGTTTTGTCGTATATGAAACACCTAGAATCAACATAACATTTTTTGAATTTTTACTTTAGCGTTGTCTTTTTGACATACCCTGTATATTAAATATGCGATATTTTATAAAATTCTTATTATTTGAGCTACAGAAAAAATTTAAAATGCATTTTAGGGTAGGATTGTGAATTTGTAAATATAAAAACAAATGAATAACAACCAACGCATAAAAATCAATATTTTTGTTAACAAATTCAAAATACTCGTAAAAAACTACACTAGAACTTATTTTTAATTTTTCGTGTACGTTAGCTTTCACCATATAGTATTTCCGCATATCCCTGTATACGAAATTTCGTAAAACCCTATATTTCTTACTTTCAGAGCTACACGAAAAATTTAAAATCGATTTCAGGCTAATTTTTACCCAGCATTTCAAATTTGCAATCAAAAATACCAAAAAACTTACCGTTTGCGTCTTGTTCGGTACCTAGAGCTTTAGGTAGCGGCATATTACCGCCGGTCATAAGAACGAGAAAATATTTTTTGGCTTTCGTTGAATTGGGGTAATCCACGACTACACCGCCGAAAAAACCTGCTTTCATGGCTTGGGAAGTCACTAGTTCCATTTGATCACAATTTTCTGGATAAAACTGTAAAACAGCCCTGGCAGATCTGCTCTATAATTTAAAAAATCGCCCATGGAATAAGTTTTTTTTAGTTTAATTAGTATTACTTACCAAACAAGCATAAAGAGTACTGAAAAATTTGTACAATCTTTGTACAGGTTTATGGCAAGTTTTATCTGCATTACAGAGCCATTGTAGGGCTGATATACTAACAGCCCCATCAAATGTACCGGCTCTAAATGGACACCCTTGTCCCATATCAGATAATAACAAATCCCCTTCCACTTCTCTTTCAACAGCAATTTCTAAAAAAATATTATCCAGCATTAAATCCCCGTGAAAAAAACAAATAAATTAGTATTTTGAATTTCTAGCGTTAATTTTAAGTAAGGGTCTCTGTGATACACCCTGTACATTAAATATGCGATATATCATAAAATTGTTAATCTTGAAGCTACAGAAAAAAATAAAAATTTATTTTGGGGTAGTTTTTACTTGAGATTGTGAATTTTATTGTAAAAACACAATAAATTAAAACAAAGCGCTAAAAAATCAAAGCAATCTTTTTGTTTTTTAATATAATTTATTTTTGTTAAAAAATCCAAAATCCTAGTAAAAAAACTAGACTGAAACTAATTTTAATATTTATTTTACCATTAAAATAACTTTTATCATATAGTATTTCCTTATACCCCTGTATACCAAATACCGTACAACCCTATATTCCTTATTTTTTTAAGCTGGACAAAAAATTAAAATCCATTTTAGGCTAATTTTTACCCAGCTTTCCAATTCTGACATCAAAAATGCTAAAAAACTTACCTAACATGGACTGTGAAATGTCCATTCCGACCCATATGTGGCCCTCATCCTCCAAAACGCTTCCGCTAAGCCCTGAACCGCAACCAATGTCCAATAAAAAGCAGGGCTGATCGTCAGGAAGTAATAATAGCTCTATGGCCCTTTCAGACATCTGTACCTGTATATCGATGATACGAGAACTAAAAATAGTACATAATAATACATTTTGGTTGATAACTTTTTTTTTGATTTTATAAAAATTATGTTAAATATGATTTTGTAGAGCGTGATTTTTACTGTAAATAGGTGTTTTTATATTTTTTGTAGTATGTATGGTTTTTGAGATATAAGACTTTTAGTAAAGTAAGGGGTTTTAGAAGACTTATGTTTATACAGCTGAAGTTTTGTTACTTTTTTAGATATTTTGGAAAATTGTACGCCATTTAAAAGATGATTCTGTCTATTTAAAATATATTTTGACCAAATTATAAAGTAACCAAAAACAAATGAGCTATGCCCAATCATAGAATGTGGTGACAAAAAATTTAGTTAATTCGTGTTTTTTAACTATATTATATAAATTTAAGTAATAAAATCAAATTACTACAACTAAAAACAATGTAACTTACTTTGACGTGTATTTTCTGGCCTCATCGTCGTTGTAAAACTAAAAATAAACATTGTGAGACGCAAAATATTAAATTATAAAAAACAATGATTGATTAATAAAAATAACCAGAATACATACTATTTCTGGCGGTGCCAGATACTCAGGTCGAGACATATTTTACACAACGTTATTATTATTTAAATTATACGAATGTAAACAATATTTTGACACTTATTTCAGCGACATAACCTCAAATTAAAAGCATGTGAAAATCTAGGGGAATTTAGTTTTAAATGACAGACGCCATCTATTGACGAGCCGATCAACAGGCTTTAAATTTTGACAAATGTCACTTATTTTTTTGCATTTTAACGTTATTTTGCGTATATTTCGTTGTATTAAGACTTTAAAGTATTAAATTATGGCAGCGGCGAGGATTGTGGAGCTCGATGATTCGAATACATGTAAAATGTAAGTATTACGTCAAATTAAAAAAGAATGAGGTTATGTATTTTGTTATTTTTTTAATTTTTTTCAGATGTGATAATGCCCTGGCTAAATATTCGTGCCCCAAATGCAATATTTTGTACTGTTCTGTGAGTTGCTACCAAAATCAAACTCACTTGCAGTGTAGTGAAGATTTCTATAAAGATAGTTTGTTAGGTGATTTAAATTTGAACAAAAATGATCCGGAATCGAGGAAAAAAATGATGGAGATCCTCGAAAGGGTGCACCAAAGCAACAAAATAGCCTCGGAGGATGATTTTTTTGACTTTGAAGGTTTAGACGACTTGGATAAGTTGGATTCTGATGATGATGAGGATTTCGACGATATAACTGCCAGATTACAAGGTGTTAATTTAGATGACGCTGAAACTGTTTGGGAAAAACTCACGGAGGATGAAAAACAAGAATTTGTGGCGTTTTTAAGGTAAGTCAGTCATTTTTCTTATGTTGATATTTTTGCTTTAAAAAAATAATTATTTACAGTAATTTTTTATTAGGTCTGAAGATGTGACAAAGTTGATTCCGCCCTGGGAACCATGGTGGTTACATTCCAGTAAAAAAATGGTTGAGGAAATAAATGATGTGAAAATAATTGAACTTGAAGAGAAATGTCCAAAAATTATCAACATTAAGGATTTTACTAGTATAACCGTGAGTTTTATTAAATACTTGGTGATTTTATTATACTTTTTTGTAATATTTCAGGCCAAAACTCCAGCAGACTGTGTAAAATACAACTTGTACAATATTTTGTCGGCTTATGTTTTTACAGTAAGATATTTTAATGGGGAGCATTTTAATTTTGCTAAAGAAGCTATAAGTTGCTGGTCGTATTTAAGTCTTTGCGTCAATACTAAAGAAAATTTCCAAGATTTTGACACTGCTGTTAAATCTGTAGAGCAACAATGTTTGACGGTAAGTACCTTTTTATTTAAATTCAATCTAGCAAGTTTAGTTTTGGAGATAAATAAATTTGTTGTTAATAAATTTTGTTGGCGATAAAATTCTCTATAAATTGATGTTTTTGTTTTTTTTGTAGGTAACGTTTTTGGTTTTTGATATATTTGGCTTTAAAGTTTGTGTTCTAGATTATACCCTACAAGATTTTCTATGTGTTGTATTTAATTAACCCTTTGAGATTTTTTGACGTTTCATATGTCATTTTAAAGCCTGATCAACATGTTTTTTGCCAAAATAATTTAGCTTATGAATTACGCAATATACAGGGCGTTAAAGTTTACCTCTGTCGATTTTATTTTGAAGTAACACATCTGCCATAATTTTTGATGTAGCGCTTTTGTTTTTGCAGATACGTTGTTTTGTTGTTAATAAATTTTGTTGAGGATGAAATTCTCTATAAAATGATGTTTAAGGATTTTTTCCAACATTGGCGGTTTTTGGAATATTTGACTTTAAAGTTTGTGTGAAGGTGCATTTTATTTTGTGCTCTACTAGATTTTCTATGTGTTGTGTTTAATTTATACTTTGAGATTTTTTGACGTTTCATATGTCATTTTAAAGCCTTATTATCATACTTTAACATGTTTTTTACCAAATTAATTTAGCTTTAAAATTACGCAATATATAGGGTGTCAAAGTTTACCACTGTCGATTTTATTTTAAAGCAACTTTCAAAACCTCGTATCTGCCAGAATTTTTGACATACAACTATTTAAATATACCTATATTAAAGAGAATACCTATATTTGGCTACAATTTAACGTATAAATTGTTAAAATCCCTTAACTATTGTGGAGTGAATTTGGCAATATTTAATAAACTGTTATTTTTAAGTTTACATAAGTTGTCAAAATACTATCTCAATACTATTTTAGAGTGACTGGATAGTCACTGATGAAGAAAACATCAACATAATGAAAGAAGATGTCAAAAACATCTTTGAAGGGCCTAATTTGACAACGCCGGGTTTTTACGTATTGTCTGCGTTGTCAGATTTATACAATTTAATAGAAGCCGCTATAAATCCCAAGGATAATACCAAGGAAACCGAATTTAGCAAAAAATTCCCCAACGATCATTTTCCAAACGTCAAAATCGAAAGTAACGAAAAAATGGGGGTTTATCTGAAAAAAATCGAATATTTTTTGTCTTATTCCAGAGATATACTGTATAAATAAATAATTTTGTTTATATTTGGTTTTATTTGCCGATAAACACTGAAAAATACCCGGCCACGACTAAATCGAGACGGAGCAGCGACTAAATCGGCGCGCGCCATCTTAAAACAAAATCGCACAACAGGTGGCGTTGTTAATAAAAACAAATGGCAGTCGCCGTGGCTTGCTTCGATTAACCACTAATTACTTATAATTAATACTTTTGTGTTTATCTTGATAACTACATGTGCTGCGAGTGAAAAACCAGTGCTTCTAACCTAAAAAATGCGACGTTCGTAGTGTTCTAGCGAAAATTGGGGCCTTTGAGTTGACAGGGGGAGCAAAATGTTTAGATTTTTGAGTGGCAGGAAAAACCAAAGCAGAAACAACCAGCACCAGTCGAATTCTAACAAAAATTACGCCAGCAAGAATTTGATACAGTGCAGGGTTATTTTGCTCGATGGTAGCGACTTAAGTGTGGAATTAACGGTATGTATACCTAATACTTAAGTATGTGGGCGTACTGTACTTAAGTGACTTATGTTGTTTTGCGTAAAAACACCGAAATTTTCGTGTTTGTATCGTTAAAATCACTTATTCCCATACTTTTGATGAGCACTGTATAACAACTTTGTTTATTTACATAGGTTTATCACTTGTTGACATATTTTTTAAAACTTGTGCTTGTACTTCTTGTTTTTTTTACATTTTCTCTGTTAGGCCTTAGACCATACACCACATGTTTATATGGTCTAAGGTTTTTTTATAGTTTTACAAAATGTTGTCTTGAAAATTGCTAATTTTATTTTAAACATTATTGATTTTTCAATTTTATGTTTTACTTTGATTAAATATTTACCTATTAACACTTATTAACAATAATTGTTGACAAACGTGTTTTTTGCCTTGTGACCTAAGAAATTTCACCTAATTTCTTTTAAATGTACTTATTTTAAACAAAGCAAATTCTACAATACATTTATGTAAGATGTTACAATACCTGTGAAATCCCCTCAACAATAAAAATTAAAATTAGGTCAAAAACACCAAACATATTAATACAAATACCTACCTATTAAATAACATTATAAACATTGCATATTTGTTTATTTATTAACTTTAAAATTACCTACCTATAAATTATTAAACAAAAAAGTGTAGAGAAATTATTATAAATTTCATTACACCATAAATAAATGCAGAAATTAAAACATACTTTGACCTAATGTGGGAATTTTTAACAATGAATTAAATTAGAACATAATGTTTCACAATATAAATGCTCGTAATAAATTTATTAAATAAACGATTTTAATGAAATTTAACATTTACACTTAAATGCGTGTAACAAAAAAGTAACAAAAGATTTTAAAAAACAGTTTTCACTGCATTGTAAAGCACATTTCCCCCTAACACCCCCATAAATTTTATAAAAATCGCTCGATTAATAACAAAGATACAGCCCTTTAAACTTTAACCCCCCAACTTAGCCCTGTAGTGCTAAGCGTATAGTACGTTTTGTTTGTTGCAGAAAAAAGCTAAGGCGCGAGATTTGTACGAGCAAGTTTTTTACTCCTTGGATTTGATAGAAAAAGACTATTTTGGTCTACAATTCACAGATGCTAACCATGTTAAACATTGGCTGGACCCCACAAAGTCTATTAAGAAGCAAATAAAAAGTTAGTTATATATTGTAGGTTTTTGCACATTTTATTGTGATTTTGTTGTTTCAGTTGGCCCTCCCTACACTTTAAGACTAAAAGTCAAATTTTACTCATCCGAACCAAACAATTTAAGGGAGGAATTGACGCGATATCAATTTTTTCTGCAACTGAAACAGGACATATTGGAGGGGAGGTTGGAATGTCCGCACGATATATCGGTAAAACTGGCAGCGCTGTCTCTGCAATGTAAGTATGGCAACATGGTCCAGTACTAGCACTAAAACTCACCTTACAGCGGAGTTGGGAGATTACGATGAAACTCAGCACACAGCGGCAACAGTGTCGGAATTTCGGTTCGTTCCTAATCAAACTGAGGAGATGGAGATCGAAATTTTGGAGGAATTTAAAAAATATAAAGGGCTAACCCCCGCCCACGCAGAGCAAAGCTATTTAAACGAAGTCAAATGGATGGAAATGTACGGGGTGGATATGCATACCGTTTTGGTAAGTTAACGCGTTTGTTTTTGCAGATACGTTGTTTTGTTGTTAATAAATTTTGTTAAGGATGAAATTCTCTATAAATTGATGTGAATTTTTTCCAACATTAACGGTTATTAAAATATTTGACTTCAAAGTTTGTGTGGAGGTGCAATTTAGTTTGTGCTCTGCAAGATTTTCTATGCGTTGTATTTCATTCACCCTTTAAGATTTTTTGACGTTTCATATGTCATTTTAAAGCCTGATCAACATACTTTAACATGTTTTTTACCAAATTAATTTAGCTTAAAAATTACGCAATATACAGGGCATTAAAGTTTACCAATGTCGATTTTATTTTAAAGTAACATATCTGCCATAATTTTTGATGTAGCGCTTTTGTTTTTGCAGATGCGTTATTTTGTTGTTAATAAATTTTGTTGAGGATTAAATTCTCTATAAATTGATGTGGAAGGATTTTTCCCAATGTTAACGGTTTTTGAAATATTTGACTTTAAAGTTTGTGTGAAGGTGCATTCTAGTTTGTGCTCCACAAGATTTTCTATGCGTTGTATTTCATTCACCCTTTGAGATTTTTTGACGTTTCATATGTCATTTTAAAGCCTGATTACCATACTTTAACATGTTTTTTTACCAAATTAATTTACCTTAAAAATTACGCAATATACAGGGCGTTAAAGTTTACCACTGTCGATTTTATTTTGAAGTAACATATCTGCCATAATTTTGGATGTAGCGCTTTTGTTTTTGCAGATGCGTTGTTTTGTTGTAAATAAATTTTGTTGAGGATGAAATTCTTCATAAATTGACGTGAAAGGATTTTTTCCAACATTAACGGTTATTAAAATATTTGACTTCAAAGTTTGTGTGGAGGTGCAATTTAGTTTGTTCTCTACAAGATTTTCTATGCGTTGTATTTCATTTACCCTTTGACATATTTTGACGTTTTATATGTCATTTTATAGCATGATTAACATATTTTAATATACCGTATTGTCAAATATCATTTTTACATTTTTTCATCTTTATTTTAGGGAAAAGACAGTATGGAATATAGACTTGGCTTAACCCCTACGGGGATTCTAGTTTTTGAAGAACCCAATCAAAAAATAGGGCTGTTTTTTTGGCCCAAAATAGGTAAATTGAACTTTAAGAAGAAAAAATTGACCCTGGTAGTGGTGGAAGATGACGATCAAGGCCGAGAGCAGGAACATACATTCGTTTTTAGGTGAGTAAATTATGAAATGATTATCTGCCACAATTTTTGGCGTAGCGCTTTTGTTTTTGGAGATGTGTGATTTTGTTGTTAATAGATTTTGTTGAGGATGAAACTCCCTATAAAATGATGTTATGGGATTTTTTCCAACATTGACGGTTTTTGAAATATTTGACTTTAAAGTTTGTGTTGAGTTGCAATCTTTTTTTGCTCTGCAAGATTTTGTATGTGTTGTATTTTATTTACCCTTTGAGATATTTTGGCGTTTCATATGTCATTTTAAAGCCTGATTAACACTCTTTAACATGTTTTTTACCAAATTAATTTAGCTTAAAAATTACGCCATATACAGGGCGTCAAAGTTTATCTGTATCATTTGACATTCAACGACTTTGTAACGTAATTTCTATCCTAGATTACACAATGAGAAAGCTTGCAAACACCTATGGAAATGCGCCGTGGAACACCACGGTTTTTTCCGACTCAGAGCCCCTGTAAAGGGGCCCTCAGCTCGACAGAACTTCTTCAGAATGGGCTCGAGATTTCGCTACTCGGGTAGAACGGAATACCAGAGTACTTATCAAAATAGAGCCAGAAGAACGGTCCAACTAGAGCGAAAACCGAGTCAAAGGTAAGCCGAACACCCTGTACACGAAACGTGCTCATAATGTGGACCCCTCAGGTACGGTAGACGGCAAAGTCACGTTCTGCGGGAGAGGCAGAAACAACAAGCGGCGCAAACGACTAGCGATTCTAGCGAAGTCGCTTCAAGTAAAGTTTCCGACATTCACCCGTCTTCCAGTAGGTGCAGCGAAAGATCGACCAAGTCCAATGCTACCAACACGACGGACAACGATCCCCTCTACTGCAAAGTCAACGATGACATAACCAAGAGTCTCACACCTACAGGTGAGTAGTTTTTTCAGTCTAGCGAGTTTAGTTTTGAAGATACGTGGTTTTGTCGAGGATAAGTTTTGTTGGGCATGAAATCATCTATAAAATTATGTTTGGGGATTTTTTACAACTTTAATGGTTTTTGAGATATTTAACTTTAAAGTTCATACTTGGGTGCAATTTAGATTTACCTCTGCAAGATTTTCTATGGGTTATATTTCATTTGCCCTTTGATATTTTTTGACGTTTTATATGTCATTTTAAAGCCTGATTAACACCCTTTAACATGTTTTTTACAAAATTAATTTACATTAAAAATTACGCAATATATAGGGTGTTAAAGTTTACCACTGTCGATTTTATTTTAGTGCTACAATTTTTGACATAACACTTTTATTTTTGAAGATACGTGTTTTTGTTGTTAATACGTATTGTTGGGGATGAAATTCTCTATAAAATGATGTTAAAGGATTTTTTCCAACAATTACGGTTTTTGAAATATTTAACTTTAAAGTTTGTGTGAAGGTGCATTTTAGTTTGTGCTCTACGAGATTTTCTATGCGTTGTATTTGAGATATTTTGAAGTTTTATATGTTATTTTAAAGTCTGATTAATACACTTTAACATGTTTTTTACCAAATTAATTTACCTTAAAAATTACGCAATCTACAGGGCGTTAAAATTTACCACTGTCGATTTTATTTTTAAATAACATATCTGCCATAATTTTTGATGTAGCGCTTTTGTTTTTGCAGATACGTTGTTTTGTCGTTAATAATTTTTGTTGAGGATGAAATTCTCTATAAATTGATGTGAAAGGATTTTTTCCAACGTTTACGGTTTTTGAAATATTTGACTTTAAGTTTGTGTGAAGGTGCATTCCAGTTTGTGCTCTACAAGATTTTCTATGCGTTGTATTTAATTTAATCTTTGAGATATTTTGACGTTTTATATGTCATTTTAAAGCCTGATTTACACTCTTTAACAAATTTTTGACAAAATTAATTTATGTTGAAAATTACGCAATATATAGGGTGTCAAAGTTTACCTTTGTCGATATTATTTTAACGCAACTTTAACACCTCGTATCTGCCATAATTTTTTACCTACGATTATTTTTCTTAAATCATCTTAAAGAGAATATATTTGGCTACAATTCAACGCATAAAACGTTAAAATCGGTTCATTATTAAAGGAGTAATCGTTAATTTTCAGGTCCGGAGTCAATAGGGTTGATCAGTCAAAATAGCTTCGGTAAAAGTTCTATAGGACATAACTCCTTCGGGAAAGCTTCTGTGGGTTGCAGCTCTCATTATAGGTAATAAATAATGTTTGTCTTTGATAGATTTGGTGTTATTTTGGTGATTTTTTAGCCCTGTTTTGTCGAATTCAAGCAAAAACGGTACGCTAAAAAGGAACAGGGCTGCAACTTCAAAAAGTCCAACCCCTAGTAACAACGACAGTCAATTGGACTTCCTTTTGAAGAGTTTGGCAAAAGAAACGCTGACCGGCATTAATAGGGATGAAGCTAGGAACGAAATGAGCAAATGCGAAGATTCCGACGATTTAAAATCGGTAACCAACGAAATCCCAAACAACATCGGCAAATATTCCAGCGCTGCCAAACCTCTGCCGCCGGGGCAAGTCAAATGCAACATTCTCAAGGCAAAACTCGAAGAAGAGTTGAATGGCAACGCCTCGACCAAGCTGACCAATCAGATGTTCGTATCAGCGCCCTCTAACGACGAATCGAATTTGAACTCTCTAAACGCCGCTACCTTCGTTTCAGTGGTGAGTTATTTTTGTCTGTAACTTTTTTAATAATTTTTTTACACGAAAATTTATTAAAACAATTTTGTGGGCCGTTATATTCTCTACAATTTTTCTATTTGCAGATTTTTGTTATCTCGATTTGTTTTCGAGATATATCGCGTTAAAGTTTGGACATTGCATATTTGTCACCGGCAACTTTAACGCCCTGTATCTGGAAGACAAAAAATCGTGGCGAAAAAATGAAAACGTCATTTTGTGGAGAATAAAATGTGTTTTATTTTCATACTTAACATTTTTTTCGTAAATTCATTATTAACCGAGGTATTTAATCTCAAAGTGTGTTGTCTAGCTTACTAATGCGTTTTTTGTTTTTCCCTATCCTTGCCCTTAAATAATCCTTTAAATTCTCAAGGGGGGTGATAAATTGACTTTATCGGTATCCGGTCCGACCAGTAACGTCCCGATTATCACTGGGTCGTCGCTAAAATCGCCGAAACTAGAGAACGGAGATGTAAGCATACAAAATCCCGTTACGGTAACATTTTTCGGTCACAATGACGGCAAATTAGGCCAAGTTCTTTTGAACGACAAAAATCAACCGTTGAGTTTGGAAAGTGAGGTTAACTCTCTATCCCCGAAAATCCCCAACGAAAATCAGAACAACCCTTTCTCGAATTTACTTCACTTACACGAATCGAATCCTTTCCACCCCAAGAACAACCCTTTTAGGGAGGAAAGCACTTTGGAAGCCAAAGAAGAAGAAGAAGAAGACGTGACAGATGGCAACCCCTGCGAAGTAAGTAGCAGTGTTTTGTTTTCCCGCTTACGCATGCCTACTAAACTTTGTTAATTAATTAATTAAAAAATAAAAACACAATTAACACGTATTTTTCAAACAAGGCAAACAATGAAGATATTGATTCGGAGCCCACAACACCCGTAAGCCCAAATTTAAGCAAACTTTCGCCGTGGTTAGTTTCACAGGAAGTCGTCTCAAAACCGGTATCAAAAGCGGAAGCGAATATTGTCCGGAAATCCGTTATAACAACCCAACTATAGCATTATTATACATGACTTAGGTACACCGAGATTTTAGCGTATATCTTCTTTATTTTTAATTTTACACGAAAACTTGTTAATAATGTTTTTTAAAGCGTTAAATAATCTACAATTTTCGTTTTTACAACTTTTTCATATCTCGAAGGGTTTTCGAGATATATCTCGTCAAAGATGGAGGTGTCATATAATGAAGTTTAACGTTATATTTTTATTATCTCTAAAGCGATTTTAATAAATTAAACGTCAAATTAAAGCAAAATAAATTGTTTTTGCGGCGATACTTACAAATTTAATATATCTCAAAAATTACTCGAGATATATCGATTTAAAGTTGAGATATCTTAAATTCGTCACCTACAACTATAACGCCCTGTATCTTAAAAACCATAAATGTTATAACAAAAATAAAAACGTCATTTTGTAGAGAAAACACAACACTTTAATTTCATTAAACAAACTTTTTTGTAAAATCAAAAATAACAAAGTTATTCGAGATAATACTTATTAGATATTATTTAATTAGGCAGCCGATGTTGCTAATCCTATTTAGTATTAGTAAAAACGCTTTTATTTTAAGTTTTATTGATTTTTTTACGTAATTATGAAATTGTTTTTATTTAAAATTGAAATTTTTTAATTTATACATTTATACATTTTTTGTGATAAAAATTATCAAGATGTACTTAAATTTTATTTAAATGAATAAGGGACCAATTTTAACGAATTTTAACACAAAAGTGCCATTACATTACATTTTTTTTGTATAAATTTACAAAAATTCCGTCCTTAGATAAATATATACATATAATAATAAAGTATTTATATAATGTTATTTTTTGTTTTATTTAGCACCTGTTTGAGTTATCTCAATTCGTCTTCGAGATATATCTCGTTAAACATTTTGAAGAATGTTAAATATTCTACAAAATGACATATAAAACATAAATATTCTGTCAAATTTTGACAGAGTTACCTACAGGGAAAATAAAAAACAAAACAAATTACAATAATTTTTTATTTAAGTATTATTGCAAGTAAAAACTGTCAAAAACTGTATTAATTACAATTCTCAAAAACCTACACAACTATTTTTTTATTTATCTTCATATGTAACATTTAATCTACAGAGGAATTTCAAAAAACAGTGATCTATCATTTTTTTAATTATTGTTACATTTTCACTGTTTTTTTTACGTAAAAAATATGAGACATAAATAATTATAAGCTTAGGCCAATAATTTTGAACGCCCTGTATATAATGCAGTTTGTATACAGAGTGTTCGGTAAGTAAAAGACTAGAATATAGCTGCAAAAATAAGTGTGGGAATAAATTAAATTACAACAAAATGTTAATGAACGATTTTTATGAAATTTACAGGGTTTGTAAAACGAAGTGTCCTCTTTACAATGCACTTTACTGTTTTTTAATAACCCAAAAATCAACAGAGTTATTTGCTATTTTGTATGAAGGTGACAAAAAATGCAGTCGTCTATTAAAACTTGGATAACATGAAGGTTAATATAGATATTTGAAAAATGTTTTCATTGATTTACGAAGCACATTTCATTTTACAACGTGTACGAAAATCATAAAAATCCCATTATTAATAACGAAGATACAGCCCTTTAAAGTTTAACCCCCCAACTAGCACCGCGGTGCTAAACTAATATGTTGCTTTTTTTGTTTTTAAGTCGCAATCCTGAGTAATTAATGTAAGATATTGTATTTTTTATTGAAAAAATATAATATTTTTCATTTATTTGAGATATCCATGTAGATATGATGATTGAAAATCGATATGCTATGCAAAATTTAATTTTGTCAAAAAACTATTAAGTCATAAATAAAATTAATTCTTAAGATAAATTAATAATAAATTATTTAATTTTTTAAAATCACATTTCTTTTTTATACAGGGTTTACACTGTTGTTGTTTTTAATCCTTATCCATGTCGTCGTAGTGCGCAAATTTTAGAAAAACTTGTTCTAAAGTTGTTTGACTGAAACTGTACTCTTCAATGTCAAAATCGGTTTTTGCTGGAAAAAAAAATATTTGTGTTATGGAAATAACTTTTTTATTGCTTACCTTTCTCGAGTTGAAGAAAACAGTTGGCCAGTGAGGTAACACTGTGTTGAGGTACGCTAAAAACGAGCCTATCCACGAAAATTTCCTGCAAGTTTGATTCAGCGAATAAATTCGCCACAAATTCCCTCAACTCCGAAACCTTATCCCCGCCACTGGTCGATGTGGGCGTGGAATCGCCTCCCCTCAATTTCATTTCCAAGGTGTAACCTGCACCGTATAAGTTTTTGAGGTGTTGAGTTGAACCCAGACATCTAAAAGTTAAGTTAACTGTAAAATATGTTGTTACACACCGTTTGGAGTGTATTTTTACCTCAATTCCCCTCTCACCATAATTCCCACTCTAGAACAGAGAGCGTCTGCCTCCTCCATTGAGTGAGTGGTCAGAATAGCGCCCCTAGAACCCTGAAAACTGGCCAAGATGGTGTCCCACAAGAACCTCTTGCTTCTTGGGTCCATACCGGTACTGGGTTCATCCATAAGAACCACTTTTGGGTTACCAACCATAGACATAGCAAACGAAAGCTTCCTTCTTGTGCCACCTGAACACTGATTGGTCTGTTTATCAGAGTGCTCGTGTATTTGTAGACCGCTCAAGTAATGGTTAACCAAACGGTTGATGTCCTTATATTTGACACCTCGTATAGCAGCGTACGTCTCCAGATGCTCCCTGACGGTTATATTTTTCCACAGGGCATCATGTTGCGGGCAGTAACCCATCAATTGGAACGCCGAGCTCATGTTTGAGGTTATGCTAGCCCCCGATATATGAACCCGCCCTCTAGTCGGCACTTCTTCTGCTGTGATTATCCTCATGGTGGTGGTTTTACCAGCCCCATTGTGCCCCAAGAGCCCGAAAACTTCACCTGCACTAACCGCCAGTGACAAAGACCTGATGGCAACTTTTGGAGGTTCAGGGGTGTCCAAGTCGTCGCCGTTTTGACAGCAATACTCTTGATCCTTTACGTACTCTTTGTGCAGGTTCTGAACCATAACGACCGGCGGTTTGGTTGGCGCTTCGTGCATGAGATTCTTCACTTTCTGTCGCTCCATTTTGACGTCGTTATCTTCGTTCTCGCCTATGTCGCTCAACTCGCTGCCGTCGTCCGCGTTCGGGTCCTGCTTGTTGCTCTAAAACACATTTGAAAGAACTGCGAACGTTTCTCGAACTCTCAACTCTACCTTGATGAAGTTAAAGGCGTCCCCCACCTTTCCACCGCTTTTTTTGATGTCCAAAATCATAAGGACGACAAACCAGAACGGGATGTTTATGATACACCCGACGGCCATTACGACGATTTCATCGGTCATGTAGTCGGTTAGCGTTAGACTTGAACATGCCACGTTCACTTTACACATAACGTACACTCTTTGGACATAGTACACTATCGCATACGGAGTGTACATCGTGTTGAAGAGTGATAGAATTGTGTGGAGAACGAAGGCTGCTTTACCACCTTGGGTTTTTGAAAAAAAATTAACACCATTAGAAAATTTGCATAAATATTAGTCTATTCTGAAAATTTCATAGAAATCGGATAATATTCGTAGATGATAGAGGCATGCCCAAAATTTTGACCAAAAACTCCAAAAAATGCTATTTTCCACAATAATCATGCAATTTTGATGAAATTTAAAAGGTTTATTAATTTAAACGCGCTGAATTCACCAAAGTAAACTGTTTTTCGATATTTATACTATTAAAAAAGTTATGAGCAGTGTACAATTTTTTTTCAAATTATTAGAATATACGCAATAATATTAGTACGTTCTGAAAATTTAATACAAATCCGATATTATTCGTAGATGATAGAGGCATGCCCAAAATTTTGACCAAAAACTCCAAAAAATGCTATTTTTCACAATTATCATGCAATTTTGATGAAAAATAACAGGTTTTATTAATTTAAACGCGCTGAATTCCCCAAAGTTAGCTGTTTTTTGATATTTTTACTATTAAAAAAGTTATGGGCTGTGTGATTTTTTTTCACATTATTAAAAAAAAACGTAATAATATTAGTACGTTCTGAAAATTTAATACAAATCCGATAACATTCGTAGATGATAGGGGCATGCCCAAATTTTTCACAAAAACTCCAAAAAATGCTATTTTCCACAATAACCATGCAATTTTAATGAAATTTAAAACATTTATTAATTTTAACGCGCTGTATTCACCAAAGTTAACTGTTTTTCGATATTTTTACTATTAAAAAAGTTACGGGCTGTGTGAATTTGTTTTCACATTATTAGAAAAAACGCAATAATATTAATACGTTCTGAAAATTTGATACAAATCCGATAATATTTGTGGATGATAGGGGCATGCCCAAATTTTTGACCAAAAACTCCAAAAAATGCTAACTTCCACAATATTCATGCGATTTAAATGATTTTTTGAATATAAGCTGAATAAAGTGCGGTGATTTCACCACACTTAACAGTTTTTTCATAAAACTCACCCATTCGTAACATATCCAGATAAACTACAACGAAGTATGGCAGGAAACCAACCAAGGTTGCTATATTTGGTAGAGCACTTTGAGCCGTCTCAAACTTGTCGAAAATGTAGCTTATACATGATGTTGCTAGTATAGAAGATGGGCAATATAGCAACAAAACAACACCTAGTGTGGTCAAGGCAGGCCATTCCCTCATCGATGGTATATCGAATAGTAAAATTATCGCCAATAGTGAAGCACAAATGATCAACATTATGACACCGAGTACTATAAAGTATGGTATAAAATACATACTGAAGGTTAGACCGTTAACTCTTAGTTGATTTTTGGCTTTAATCTAGAAATCACACAATTAACGTGTTGTATGAACTAAAGTGTTGTATAAATACCTCTCTATCGTAAACCATATCCACTGACAAACTCACGGGGATCATCACAAAAATCATACCCATGAACATGGTGGCCATGAAAATACCCAGGTTGAACTCCTCAGGTTGCGAGGTTTGCTGGAACGGCTGGGCCATCACGTCCATGGACTCGAAAAGCCCATTGCGGACTTTTTCTGGGCTTAGAAGCCTGTATAGAGTGTTGCTGAGCATATTCAACACAATCGGTAGGCTGTGCTGATAAGTGTCGTTGTATAGAAGTGTGAACTGGTAGTTTTGCAGGTCGAAGGAGTTAACATTGAAGGCAGCCATATGTGGCGCCATCTGCAAAAGAGTTGAGAAGTTTCCGTTGAAACTTTCAACGCTTCTAGCGCCGAAATCTTGTAATGTGTCTTGGAAAGAGTCCAGGTTTGAGTAGGTGCCATTGTAGAGAGTAATGGTTGTTTGGTCCCCATACGTGTCTCCATTCAGTAATATGGACTTTTGTTTGGGCCCTTTCAAATTTTGTGGATTGTAGAAGTACAACCCCAAAGCCGCTAAGGCAAGAGGAAATAAAATCATGAAATACAACTTTTGAATGTCCCGTATCATTCGCAAGGTCCTCAACCTCAAAAGCGCAAATAAAGTCTGACACACACTAGGTTTGCAATCGATTTTCTCCAAGCCTAAACCTGTGATGGGCGACTTCGTTTCGCTGATAATCTCAAGCCCACCAATTGTCGTACTCTCACCCCCTGTCACAGAACTGTTCACCATACCCTCATTCTGCAACGACTGATAGCTGGTACTCTTACTCTGCAAACTTAAACTTCTACTTAAAGCTCTATTTCGCACAATTTTCTTCGATAAATTATCCACGGTCATCTCGCTTTCCTCGTCTTTTTCCAGGTGAAGGAACACCTCTTCCAAGGTCGTCATCGACACGCCGTAACTGGATATCCCGAGTTTGCTTCTGTTGTTGATTTCTTGCTCTATGGCTTGGAAAAGCGGGGCAAAATTTTCCACGGCATTGTGCGGCAGAATGAAGCTCAACTCTCTGCCATGACGGCGCGCTTTTTCGGCTTTTGGCACGTGTTGGGTCACCAATCGCGCTATAGCATGTTCCCTGCATGAACCTAAAATTTTTTTAACACCATCAGGAAGTTCGCATTAATATTAGTATATTCTGAAAATTTCATACAAATCGGATTATATTTGTAGATGATAGAGGCATGCCCAAATTTTCGACCGAAAACTCCAAAAAATGCCATCTTCTACAAAAATCATGCGATTTTAATTAAATTTTCAAGGTGTACTAATTTAAACATGCTAAATTCACCATTGTACACTATTTTTAGATATTCTTACTACAAAAAAAGTTATGGCCTGTGTGAAAAAAAAATATCACCATTAGAAAAATTGCTTTAATATTGGTAAGTCCTATAAATTTCACACAAATCGGATGACAGTTGTAGATGATAGAGGCATGCCCAAATTTTTGATCAAAAAATGCTATCTTCCACAATAATCATCCGATTTGAATGAAATTTGGAAGGTTTACTAATTGAAACGTGGTGAATTTACCACCGTCAACTGTTTTTTATATTAAGATTTACCCTCAAGAACTAAGGTTAAATGGTATCCAATTCCAAACTTATTTTTTAGGAAGAGAGAGCTACCACAACACCGTATATTTCCTTTGGAAACAACAGCTTTCCTATCAGCTAAAACAAATAATTTAAACATGTTTAAAGAGCTTCAATAATAAAATGTCTTACCTAGTATGTCAGCTTCATCCATAAAATGGGTCGTTAGTAAAATCACTTTACCATGTTTTCTATTTTGTAAAACAGACCACATGTGACGTCTAGAGTAAGGGTCAACTCCAGCAGTGGGTTCGTCCAAAATAATGATCTAAAAAATATATTAAATTGTTGTTGTACTTTAAAAAAAATATTTATAACCTTTGGGTCTCCTATAACAGCTATCCCAACGGATAGCTTCCTTTTTTGACCGCCACTCAAATGTTTTGCCTTAGATTTAGCCTTATCCACCAAGTCTACATCTTTGATTGTTTTTTTTACCTCAAAATCTTTCACCGATGGTGATATACCCTAAATATATATTATAAACAGATTTAGTTAAAATGTAATGTTTTCTCTAATAATACTAACTTTAACAGCTGCAAAAAAGTGGAGGTGTTCAAGCACAGTCAGATTGTCGAACAGGATGTCATGCTGTGGGCACACACCAATCATAGAGCGAATTTTATCCATACTCCTAGGATCCCTAAATTGAAAACAACAGGTGAGTTGTTTTTTTAATCTAGCGAGTTTAGATTGGGAGATACTTGAGTTTGTTGTTAATAAGTTTTGTTGAGGATTAAATTCTCTATTAAACTATATCAAAGGTTTTTTTCCAACATTGGCGGTTTTTGAAATATTTTACTTTAAAATTTGTGATGAGATACATTCTAGTTTTTGCTCTACATGATTTTGTATGTGTTGTATTTTCTTTAATCGTTGAGATATTTTGACGTTTTATACGTCATTTTAAAGCCCAACTAACACTCTTTAACACATTTTTTACAAAATTAATTTACACGTAAAATTACGCAATATACAGGGTGTTAAAATGTAACAGTGTATATATAACTTACGTTATGTCATGTCCAAATATATATGCCGTCCCTGATGTGGGTGATGTTAGCCCAGTCAAAATATTGAACAACGTCGTCTTTCCAGCACCATTGTGGCCCAATATGGCCGTTATTTGGCCTTCGTAGATTGTTAAATTGATACCTTTTATAGCCTTTATCTCAGGTTTACTACAACTTGTAAAAGATTTGTATAGATCGACTATTTTAATGGCTTCGCGACTTTTTAACTCTCTTGGAACGGGTTCTACGTCATTATTGGAGTCTTCACCGGTGTTTAGAGAACCTACAGAGCCTCCATTTTCTAGAGGTATCTAAAAAACAAAAAACTGTTTGTTTGAAGACGAAATAGAAAACTACATACTTTATTGACTGTCTTTTTGGTGCACCAATACGATGGTTTGAAGCAAAAAAAAGGGGATTTTTTGACACCATGTTCACCTAAACCAAAAAATGATCAAAAAATGTTTTGCAAAATATTGTTTTCTTACTCGGTATCACGCAATCCAAATAGTACGCCAAAAAACCGTACAAAATGGCATCCAATGCCATCATTATCAAACTGCCTCCAAAAGGCATACCAGGACCGGACCACAGGTTTTCAAATTTTATTCCATCACCTGACATGTCCATTACTAGAGCCTGTGTTAAACATAACGAAAATATATTTAATACAGTAAATTTTAAAAAATTTTACCACCAAAAATATTATTTTGCACGGAAAAAGTTTAAGACCATTAATATAAGTATATCCTGAAAATTTCATAAAAATCGAATAAGATTTGCGGATTATAGAGGCAAGCCCAAATTTTTGACAAACTCCAAAACAAGCTATCTTCTACAATATTTGTGCGATTTTAATGAAATTTGGAATATAAGCAAAATAAAACGCGGTGAATTCACCACAGTAAACAGTTTTTTGATAATTTTACTACGAAAAAAGTTTTAGCCCACCTTATCCATAGCCAGTGCAAATCCTGATGAGCTAATCAAGGAGACTATGTAAAGGGCTGCGGGATTTGAGTTATCAACGAAAACTTGTATATAATACAGTAAACTCATTATATTTACAGCAAAGTTTCCTAATATACCGGCCGTCTAGAAAAAAAATAAAATTATTGTACAAAAAATGTGAGGTGATATACTTACTCTAGCTTTATCGAAAAATGGTGTAATCACAAAAGCGAACATTATAACTGAGAAGGAATACAAAACGGTTAGTAGAAATATCCATAGTATGTTAGTGTTTTGGAAAACGTTCAGTATATAGAGTATGCCGCAGCATACCACCGACAAAAACGTCACGAACACTCCGTATATTATAAACCACGCCAACCAAAAAACCGAATCTTTCAGACCCATTATCTTCATGCCTTCCTTGATTTTTTTCTCCTTTTCCCCGACAATCAGTATCAATAAGTACGCCAAGAACTGCGTCAACGCAAAAACCATGTACAAGGGGATGATGAGCCTAAAGGCGACCATCCAGTTGCCCGTGAAGGCAGACTTCGGAAACATCTCCAAACGTATATCAGGCACTTGTATGGTGTCATCTCCAGTTTCAATCTAAAAGTTTTTTCTGAAGTTTTTAATGGTGTTTTCAGATTTTTTCTATCTTTAAAATGAAGCGAGTTATAGCCGCCACACCCAAAGGTGTGGCGTTTTTTTTACAAAATCGCCTGTATCTCGTAAACGGTTATAGATACTCAAAATATTGTAGTATGGTAAAAAATTAGTTTTTCAATATCTCAACCGAAATGTCAATAAAAATCGTCTCACCCTTATTTTAGTGTAGTCAAATAAAGTTTGTAAGGCTGTGAAGCCGGAGTAGTAGTAAGTATTAACCGGGCAACTTTCGCCAAGCTCTATGTCGACTCCGGACACGGACGCCCCGGATACGCTGACGCCTGCGGCCGCTAAAATTCCTTCTTTGATTACGCGGCAAGCCGCTGGTGAAGCGTAAAGTGCCGTAGTTGGGGGGGTGCCGTATATTGAAGGATTTGTACGTATCTCATACCTTGAAAAAATAAGAATCATCGTTGGAGATTATACAGCGTGTTATGTAATTAATGTTATATATTAAAATTGGTTGTTCCTTAGGGTCCATAAAGAAGCACCTGAAACTTTTTTTTCTAAATTCCAAAGTCTAAAAATAATTTATAATAACCTTTATCCTACCAAAAAGTACGCCACTGATCGACTAGGAACTTTAGGTTAATCTGGTGGATTTATTATGTTATGGTTGGTAACAACTGTTTCCAAAATCTTTCAAAAAAGTTGCCAAGCATTGTTTAAATTTAGCTTAATTACAAAAATGACAAAATTAACAATGCAAGTTGTCAATTTGGCGTTTTTATTAATTGTTGGTTATTTCATTTTTGTACTGAAGGTAAATTCAAACAAAATCTGCCAACCTTTATGACAGAATCTAGTGCATTTCTTTTAAATTTTAGGTTATGTTTTCAAATTGTAAATATCTTAACTAAGGGAAGTGCTTTTGGATTTATTTACACAAATTAAATGTTTAAAGTTTAACCTGTGAACTGGTCCCAATTTCATCTGAGTAAACAGAGAAAAAAACTGATGAAAAAATTAATTTTGTGGTTATGGATTTCAAATTTCAAAGGTACTAAATTTTCTAATGATTGCTTAAGCTAATAGCTGGATCAGTAAATAAATACATAAGGGTATTAGAGCTTTAAGGGCATAAAACTTTTGTATTTATTGAGTTTTTATTTATTTTTTGCAAGAAAAATTTTTAGTAACAATTTTTTACATCTGGCAACGCATAGCTACTTTGTTGGTTGGTATCTATGTACTCACAAAATACAGGTGTGCAGAGATAAACAAGTGTGTAACCAGTGGCGTATCACAAAAAATATAAAAAACTTCTAATGCATATTTTTTCTTTATCTTTGGAAAAATGTTTTTTAAAATATTTTTCCTCTATTCCTTATGTCAAAAGGTATTCAGTATTTTAATATATAACATTAATTACATAACACCCTGTATTTATATTTTTTGGTACCTCAATTGCCCATATATGGGCCCGGGTTCGCTGAAAATGACAGCCAACGAAATGTTGTCAGGTTTCAGCCAATAGGCTGTCAGTAGATCTTCTTTTGTAGCGTAGAGTTTCCACTTTAAAGGTTTCGGGTTTAAAAACGTGCTAAACCAGAGATCTTCGACTTTCGAAAGAAATTCCTGAAACAACGTACTGTAAAACGGCCGCCTAGAGGTCGGGATTTAACCCCCATCGACAAATTCACCTGTGTTTCGGTGGTATTCGGTACTACAGCTATGGTATGGCTGTTATACTGTTCAAAATGGCTAAAAATATCTACTTCCGGAGTTGGAGTGTCCATTATCGGAAAATTAGGATTGGGAAGGGCGAACTTTAGTAAAATTAGCACCACTAGAGAATATAAAGGTAGGGCAACTTCCTGGAATAAAAAAAATAATCCTTTTTATTATGATTTGTGTAAGGTTTCTCTATATAGAGAAATCAATTTAATTTATTTTGTTATATAAAATTTAAAAACTTGCTCACCGTTAACGTTTTTCGCTTTTCCTTTTTCTTTATAAGAATATTTCTTATGAGCATAGCTCTCAATTGTTGAAAGTATACGGAGTGTTTTTTTTCGCCCATGTTGATTTTTTTTTCTAAATTTATTGTAGGTAATAAGTTAACAAAATCTCAACGTCAAAAAGAAGTTGTATCCATATCTATAAAATACTTATTTTTAGTATACAGGGTGTAATATTAATATTACATAAAAACACTATTGTAGAGTATTATATAATCTACAATTTGACATATGAAACACTTTTTTAACATTACTAATTTTCGAGATATCACTATTTAAATCATAGCACGTAATCACCATAAGATCTATTTTATTAAATATCTACTAAGTGTTAAATCTACAAAAAAATCGTAATTATTACTTTCATAGACTGTTAAATAATCTACAATTTGATATATAAAAAACTTTTTTAACATTACTAATTTGTAAGATATGATAATTCATAGCATACCCTTGCATTTCACGTAGTCATCATAAGACAGCTATATCTATTTTATTAAATATCTACTGAATTGTTAAATCTACAAAAAAATCGCAATAAATTTTTTTGTAGAGTAATAAACAATCTACAATATGACATTTGAAACACTTTTTGAGATATGACAATTTAAATCATGGCACTTAGTCACTTTAAGACACCTGTATATTTTATTAAATATCTACTAAATTGTTGAATCTACAAAAAAATCGTAATTAAAATTTTTGTAGATTGTTAAATAATCTACAATTTGATATATAAAAAACTTTTTTAACATTACCAATTTTCGAGATATCACCATTTAAATCATAGCACGTAATCACCATAAGATAGCTGTCTATTTTATTATTTATCTACTAAAGTGTTAAATCTACAAAAAAATCGTAATGAATATTTTCTTAGATTGTTAAATAATCTACACTTTGATATATGAAAAACTTTTTTAACATTGCTAATTTGCAAGATATGATAAATTATAGCATAGTCATCATAAGACAGCTATGTCTATTTTATTAAATATCTACTAAATTGTTAAATCTACAACAAAATGGTAATAAACACTTTTGTAGAGTGATAAATAATCTACAATTTGACATTTAAAAAACTTTTTTGTCATTATTGGTTGTCGAGATATGTCACTTTAAAACATACCCATACACAATACGTATTTAACACGAATGTATATTTTGTTAAATATCTTTAAAACTATCAAACCTACAAAAAATATGTAAATTACAACATTGTAGAGCCTAAAATAATCTACAATTTCAATAAAACAATTTTTTTCTAAACTCGTTTGTTCTCGAGATATCATCCATTAAACATAATCTGTTCATTTCAAACGAAATGTAATGTCTTTGTCAAGCACCCGGTATATAATGAAATTGAAAGGGGTTGGTTTTTTTAAAATATTTCTGAATTTCCCAATGTCAAAAACCCAATAGAAGTTTTTACATGTAATAAAGTGAAATGTCAAATGTTATTGGGATCTATTTTAATACTTACTTACCCTTGGTTTATTGGCCCACAAATTAACATCCTCGTCTCGCGGCCATCTTTGTCTAAAGAAACGTCAAAAACTGGTGAAAACCGGCGTCAACCCCGAAACATCGCGATTTTCCTCAAACTTTGCCAAATCGAGCAACCCGTCGCGATTTTCTTTTGTTCGTCGACTCGATGCCCAGCGTTCTTCGATTGTTTCCAAGGATTGCCGTGTTGGCGTGCGGTCACGCTGAAACAACTGAACCACAGGGGTGGTTTTCAGAGAGGGGAGCATGCGCGCGAGGGTTAAATTCCCCGAAATGCTATTTTCACTGGGTCAGTATGACTCTTTCACCGTAGGTCAATGTTTTTCGGATTGGGTTTTTCTTTGGCATGCTTGACATTTAAGATTTAATCTATAAGTTGTCATTTCCTATATACTTAATATTATGTTCTTATACAGGGTGGTCTGTATATCTCAAAAATTGCCATAAAAACAAAATTTTTTTTGACAGCCATGTCTATTTTATTAAATATCTACTGAATCGTTAAAACTACAAAAAAAACTCAAAAAAACACTTTTGAAGAGTAATAAATAATCTACAATATGACATTTGAAAAACTTTTTTAACATTACTAATTTTCGAGATATGACAATTTAAAGCATAGCACGTAGTCACTATAAGACAGCTGTCTATTTTATTAAATATCTACTAAAGTGTTATATTTATAAAAAAACCGTAATAAACACTTTTGTAGAGTAATAAATAATCTACAATATGACATATGAAAAACTTTTTTTACATTACTAATTAGCGAGATATGATAATTTATAGCATACCCTTGCATTTCACGTAGTCATCATAAGACAGCTATGTCTATTTTATTAAATATCTACTGAATCCTTCAATCTACAAAAAAATCGCAATAAACACTTTTGTAGAGTAATAAATAATCTACAATATGACATTTGAAAAACTTTTTTAACATTACTAATTTTCGAGATATGACAATTAAAAGAATAGTACACTTGGTCAATATAAGACAGCTGTCTATTTTATTAAATAACTACTAAAATGTTAAATCTATGAAAAAATCGTAATAAACACTTTTGTAGAGTAATAAATAATCTACAATATGACATTCGAAAAACTTTTTTAACATTACTAATTTTTAAGATATGACAATTTAAAGTATAGCACGTAGTCACAATAAGACAGCTGTCTATTTTATTAAATATCAACTAAAGTGTTATATTTATAAAAAAATCGTAATAAACACTTTTGTAGAGTAATAAATAATCTACAATATGACATTTGAAAAACTTTTTTAACATTACTAATTTTCGAGATATGACAATTTAAAGCATAGCACGTAGTCACTATAAGACAGCTGTCTATTTTATTAAATATCAACTAAAGTGTTGTATTTATAAAAAAATCGTAATAAACACTTTTGTATAGTAATAAATAATCTACAATATGACATTTGAAAAACTTTTTTAACATTACTAATTTTTAAGATATGACAATTTAAAGCATAGCACGTAGTCACTATAAGACAGCTGTCTATTTTATTAAATATCTACTAAAATGATTAATCTACAAAAAAATCGTATTTATTACTTTTGTAGACTGTTGAATTATCTACAATTTTATGAATGAAAAACTTTTTTAACATTACTAATTAGCGAGATATGATAATTTACAGCATACCCTTGCATTTCACGTAGTCATCATAAGACAGCCATGTATATTTTATTAAATATCTACTGAATCGTTAAATCTACAAAAAAATCGCAATAAACACTTTTGTAGAGTAATAAATAATCTACAATATGACATTTGAAAAACTTTTTTAACATTACTAATTTTTAAGATATGACAATTTAAAGCATAGCACTTAGTCACTATAAGACAGCTGTCTATTTTATTAAATATCTACTAAAATGTTAAATCTATGAAACAATCGTAATAAACACTTTTGTAAAGTAATAAATATTCTACAATTTGACATTAAAAAAACCTTTTTGTCATTATTGGTTGACGAGATATGTCAATTTAAAATAGACTTTTACACGAAAACAAAAAGTTACAAGGTGTTGAAACTAAGAAAGAAAAATGACAATGCTGTGACAAAAATGTCAAAATCAGACATAAAATGGATGAAAAACTTACAAAACATCAAAACGCTTTTGATGCATACCTGAGGAAGGCCAAAAAGGAGTGTGTGGTGGTGTTATCGCAACCTTTAGCTCTGAGAGGAAGTTTTAGGAGTTTCGACTTGAAAAACACGCTGGGGATCGGAGCGTTCGGGAGAGTTTTACTGGTGATGCACAAGGAAACAAAGAAGATGTACGCGTTAAAAATAATGGAGAAAAGAAACATCGTCGAAACGAAACAGGTGGCTCACACCATGGCGGAGCTGAGGCTGTTAGACGCGATGAGATTCAGTTTTGTGGTACATCTGGAGTTTTTTTTCACGGATAACGTTTACATATTCTTGGTGATGCCTTTTGTGGCTGGGGGTGAGATGTTCACCCACCTCAGAAACCTCAAAAAGTTCGACGAATCTCTGAGTAAGTTCTACGCAGCCCAGGTTGTACTGGCGATGGAGTATATGCATTACTTGGGGATCGTTTACAGGGATTTGAAACCGGAAAACATACTCATGGATACTGAGGGTTATTTACTGATAACAGACTTGGGGTTCTGCAAAAAAATCGACGATGAAAGAACGTACACTCTATGTGGAACACCGGAATACTTAGCCCCGGAAATAATCCTCAGCCAGGGTTACAGCTACTCCGTAGACTGGTGGTCTACGGGGATACTGATCTACGAAATGACGGCGGGGTTTCCCCCGTTCTACGCCAGGGACCCCATGAAAATCTACGAGAAAATTGTAAGCGGGAAGTACATCTGCCCCAACCACTTCTCCAAACCTCTCAAAGACTTACTCCAAAACGTAATCCAAGTGGATAGGTCCAAGAGGTTCGGAAACCTCAAAAACGGCGCGAAAGACATCAAAACGCACGAGTGGTTCAAAAACGTCGACTTCGACCTAATACTAAGCAAAAAAATTAAACCTTCGTTTAAGCCAACCTTAAGTGGGGAAGGGGACACCAGTAATTTTGATGTGTGCGAAGAAGTACCCTTAAGAGTGGCCACAAAAGATGAGTTTGGGGAACAATTTAATTTTAATGTTCCTTATATTACCAAATAAATAAATAAATGATTTTAATTATAAGAAAATTATTTTAATATGGCATTACAGAACACCTACTTAAAAATGCACCCCATGCACTATGTACCTACTAATTATACAAGGGGAAAATAATAAGGGTTCGTTTTAATGTAATAGATTAAAATGTTCTATATAGATCATAAAATATTGATAAACTGTTAATTTTGATGTAAAAGCCTTATATTGCGGACATAACAAAAAATAATTATTATATTTAAAATCCCCGCAAAAAAAACCTTTAATTTGAGTACCCACATGATATTTTGCTATTATAGCAAAATATAGCAATGTTTGCTAATTATAGCAAACTTTGCTGTGTGCGTAAATATCGTGTGGGGTATCATTTTAAAGGATTTTTTGTGTAGATTAAGAGCATTAAGTAGGTTTTGTGATATTATTTACCAAGTTCGCAAAAAAGTTAAAAAACCATTTCGAAGTGAATTTTTTTTATAAAATATAGACATTATCATTTCTCTGAGTTATTAAGTTATTTTTTATATTTAAGCATATTAATCATTGTTTAAAATCAAATTAACATATTTTACTTACAACTTCAGTCAATTTTTGCACAAAAACTATTTTTACAACATAACAACACTAAATATATTGATATATATAATATTATTTATAAAAAAAATGTAAATAATTCGCTATAATAATTTTTATAATACTAAACTATCATACATTTAGATCAAAAATATTATGTACCTAAAAAATTAATATAGCGTATAATTTGACCTTGATATAATTTATTTATGAACACTGTGTGAGATGAAAAATTAATATTTTTATCGTGACACAAATATTAAATAAATAAATAAATAACTTTAAGAATGTATATCTACTATATATAATATAACATTTTCAAAATAGAAAAGCCATTTTTTAAATTTAAAAAAAAAAACATAGAAATATTATATATTATATTATTCCCAAAATGGATTCAATGAAATTCGAAACTAAAAAAATTATTTAAACCTCTTCATACTTAAAAAGGATTAAAGGATTTTAAGTCTAGACTAATAATCGTCATTTCTGTAACGATTTTTAGAATGCAGTGATCTCATAAACAAAATACAGTTTTACGTACAAATAAATATGCTAAAAAATTTGCTTAAATATCAAAGTTAATTAATTATTTTCGATAATAAAAATAAAAAAATTTATCGACCGTGACAGGACTCGAACCTGCAATCTTCGGATCCGAAGTCCGACGCCTTGTCCATTAGGCCACACGGTCCTTACGAATAAATTGCGAACAGTTAGTTATGAATTGTGACGTAGTACCCACTACAGGGCATAGATGTCGTTGGGCGTTATTTTCGCGAAAATCGCATCGATTTTCCGGCGTAAAAATCACGGAAATTCCGCAGAAAACTTTGACGAAGCTGACAGGCGAAAAGTTTCCTTTATTTTGGAGGTTCAATCATGTTTTTTAGGTTTTTGATTTCGTAACAGCAGTTAAAAAGTTGAGATTTATTTGTTTTTAAGATATTTCTATTTTACTATATTATTTTAAGCCAAAAAAATAAGTAATAACTAACTGTAGGCACCTACATAAATTTAAATTTGTAAACCACAACATTGACTAGCAATAAACATCGAAAACAGACAGATAAATTATCAAACCATCCTGACAGAAAATCAATAGATGCAGAAAACTGAATTTCAGCTGCTCCTGAAAACGGGTAGCAATTTTCAGCGCTCTACTGTTAAAAATTAGAACAAAGGAAACAATAACATATCGCGAGTTTTCTTATAGGTAGGTACAATACAACAAAATAAATAATTGTCGCTTATAGTGTTATACCTATGTAGGTATAAAACATTTTTGTTTTATTTTTAGCGACAAATTCTTATGTATGACCTATTTTAAAAAAAGTGTTTAAGGATTTTATATTCGGATTCTAGTTTTCAATAGAAACAAAGAAACAGTGGGAAATGAATGAATCTCTTTTGGTCTCAAAAAAGTAATTAACATAAGAGGTTTTTAAAGAAAACACTTTTACTGTTTGAATTTGAAAAATAAAACCCTTAAAACTAAGAGAAATTTTAATGTCTATATTTTTACTTACAATTTTCACTTTTCTGCGAGCTGGGTAAATAATATTACAAAACCAACTAAATATTCTTAATCTACCCAAAAAATCCTTTAAAATGATACCCCACACGTATTTTTACGCAAATTGCTATAATTAGCAAACATTGCTATATTTTGCTATATTAGCAAAATATCATGTGGGTACTCAAATTAAAGGATTTTTTGCGTGGATTACGAATATACTACTTATTTTATGTACTGACCACCATAAAAGGCATTATAGTATAAACATAATATTTTAAGAGTATGTCAAAAAATCATCATTTTAGCTTGTCGACATACTTTTTCTTTAATTTTTAGTTCTTTAGGACAAAATTACACCAAAAAAGATATCCGGTATTATAATTAAGGTTGTTTTTACATTACTGCGAACTGTGTAAACAATATCACAAAACAAACTAAATATTCTTAATGTGCACAAAAAAACCTTTAAAATGATACCCCACACGAATTTTACGCACATAGCAAAATTTGCTTTAATCAGCAAACGTTGCTATATTTTGCTATAATAGCAAAATATCGTGTGGGTACTCAAATGAAAGGATTTTTTGCGTGGATTACGAATACGCTAATTATTTTTTATAGTCTCCCCATGTAGGGCCATCAAGCGGAATTTAAAACAACAGAAGAAAAAAACAAAATGTTTCTCATTTCTTCTGGGTTCTTCGCGCATGTTAACCCAACGAAACAGCCGACGATCGCGGCGTCGCGGCGTCAGTGTGCTGCCAGACGCCGCTGCGCCGCTACCTTCACCTGTTTCAATTTCCAACGCGTATTCACGAGACTTTGAGAGCGTTCGCTTTTGTTTTGCTGCAGGCGTCGCTGGACGTCGCACAACGATCGTGTTTTGTTTTACGCCTGGGGTGATTGTTTTTTTTGCACGGAAATATGTAAAATTAGGTAAGTTTATGGGTTTGATTTTCAATGTTTTTTTTTATTTATTTCATTAAATTTGACCTTGAATATACACAGCAACAAAAATTGCATAGGCATTTTTTTAATTTCAGATCAACACAAATGTCCAACTGAATTTCCACTACCAAAAATTAACTAAAACATCCTGAAAATCACCATGGACTCAAAACCTTCAAAATCGTCTTGGCAAGACCGCCTGTTTGGCAAAAAACTCATCAAATGCGAACTACTAAACAACCAGACCGATTCAAACCCGTTTTTACCAAGCGAAGTGCTAAAAAACACGGAAATATTGGGGATATACTTCTCCTTTGCCAACATAAATCTACAGAGCGACGATTTTATCAAAAAATTGCACGATCTTTACGATAGGTTGAACGTTGATGATGCAAAAGATACCAAAAACCATGCAGATAAAAAATTGGAAGTTGTTCAGATTGTGATGTGGGCTCACAACGATGTGTACAGTGATTTTGAAGCCAGTCATAGAGATTCCCTACTTGGTTTACCATGGTATGCTGTACCATTCAGTGAAATCGACTTGAAGGTAAGAAAAAGAACGGGGTACATAATACAACAAAAATAATCAAATATTTAGAATCAGTGCGAAAAATCCTTTAAAATGATACCCCACATGATTTTTGACACATATAGCAATATTATAGCAAAAATATAGCAAACCTTTGCTATAATAGCCAAATGTCGTGTGGGTACTCAAATTGAAGGATTTTTTTATTAGATTACGAATAGAGTACGAAAAATCCATCAAAACGACACCCCACATGAGTTTTAACAATTATAGAAATAATATAGCAAACCTTTGCTATAATAGCAAAATGACGAGTGGGTACTCTAATGGAAGGATTTTTTGCGAAGATTACAAATATGGTATTTATTTTAAGAATAGCACTTTACTGTAAGCATATTTACAAAAAGTCAATAATAAAATCCTTAACATATTAAAAATCAGGCTTTAAACATTTAAAACTGAAGCAGCTCCTAAAAGGGCAACAAACTTATAAAACAGCTCGCATATACACCATAAACGTGTAATATATTAAACTGGACAGGTTGAATTTTACAGCTTTTACATCCCTTCAGCCCCAAGGGAAAAATAAGTCGGGCCGTATCACGAAAAAATGCGATAAAACGTCGGGAAAAACACGTGAATTAATAATGAAAACATATAGAAGGAAATTTTAAATTCCATCGATCCCAATACGCCTCACAGGAATCCAAACAATTTCGAATCTTTGTTTATGTGTGGAATTCCTACTGTTTAGATTAACTAACTTTGTAAAGTTAATTTTCAGACTAACTAAATTATTTATGAGTTGGATTTTTTAACTTATTTTTTTCAGGGTTAAATGGGGATTATACTAGAAAGTACGTTTAATTTTTGTGAAAGTTTTTAAAGCCTTTTCAAGAGATGCTTTTCTTTTATAGACATTTACCAGACTATATTTCAATGGAAAATTAGTAGAGCACCACTTTTAGTAATAAAGGGCAATTTTTAATCAACATATACGTCATTAAAGACCACGTTTTAAATGTGTTTTAATTGCAACCCTGATTTTAAATACATATTACTGTTTTTTCTAAAAATGTATACAATAATGTAACATTGTAAATTATAGCAAAATATAGCAAAGTTTGCTAAATTATAGCAATAGGTGTCAAAAATCATGTGGGGTATCATTTTGAAGGATTTTTTGTACATATTAGGAATACTTTATCAATTTTGTTGTAATGTTTACCCAGTTTAAAGAAAAATAAAATAGAGTACAACAAAAAAATCAAAGAAAAACTGGAGTTTAAAAAACAACGAACAACGAAATCAGGCCATTTCTCCCTAAATAGCTTTATAAATGTGTTTCCGATAATCCAATAAAGTACGTCGACCCTCCAAATTGGCCAATCAAAAATTAATACTGCAAAATTACATCTAGCCTTGGATTAAAGCCGTTTATGCACAAAATAACTTGGTTACAATCCATTTCGTATTTTTATTTCAAAAAATTAACATTTTTAGAATCTCTGCATTGCCACAACTCAAAAACTTTTCTGCTCGAAGCAACTAAGCAACTTTTTTATTATTTTCTTTTATTTCCTTTCCATTTCTCTTCTAGCAAATTATTACACTGCCTGTTTATGTCTTGCACAATGCCAACCAAACGAGCGAAACAATTTAACAAAATTGCTCTAACACATTTAACAAAATTACTTTCATTTATTTTTTTCTTTTAAATGCCCTTCGCTGTCCCCAACTTTCATAAATCACCATACAGGGTGTTTTAATATAACAATAATACCAAATACGATTTTAATGTACCTATAAAATAATCTTAAACTACACAAAATTCCCTGTACTTTGATACCCCACTCGACCTTAACTGTCATTAATTATTATACAGGGGGTTTCACTACAACAGTGATTATAAAAGCGTATTTTATTAAATATTAAGACAACTGAATGAAAATTGGTATCCCTATATGTTTAAAATCCAAAAAAATTATGATATTTTTACTGTAAATATACAGGGTGATTGAAATTTACAACTACTTTCTATAAAACATGAAAATACAACAACTTGTTTAAAATATTCTTAAACTACACAAAATTCCCTGTACTTTGATACCCCACTCGACCTCAACTGTCATTAATTATTATACAGGGTGTTTTACTGTAACAGTTTTTTATAAATCAAGTTTTCGTGTTTTTTAAGATATTTTAATTAAATTAGTTTTTAATCAAAAAAATTCTTCCAGACCCGCCTTTCTCGGAGATACCGGATTAAATCAGGGGTACCAACGCTAGTTTTGCTGGACAAAGAGGGGGGTACTGTCAGTATATCGGCGCAGGATCGGCTTTTGGAGGACCCATGTGGAAATTCTTTTCCGTGGAGACCCAGGCCGGTCGATCAGGTATTTAAAAAAAATTTAGCTTTCATTTTAGCTTATTTTTTTAATATTTAGGTTCTTAAAGATGTAACTCTACAACCTGGCAACGTTTATTTCAAAGAACATCAAAATTCCACCAAAGAAGATGTCCGGTACAACAATTTACCGGATGGTATACGTGGTTTTTACTTTTCTGCGAACTGGGTAAATATTATTATAAAATAAGCTTGATATTTCGAATCTACACAAAAAATCCTTTAAAATGATACCCCACACGATTTTTTCGCATATAGCAATATTTGCCATATTTAGCAAATATTGCTATAATTAGCAAATATTGCTATATTTTTCTTTAATAGCAAAATACCATGTGGGTACTCAAATTAAAGGATTTTTCGCGTGGATTACGAATATGTCAATTATTTTTTTGTAGTGTCCACCATGTAGAGCTTTCACGCCACAACTAGCCGATGTTTACAGACTTATAAGGAAAAAAGAACCTGGTTTCGAAATAATATTCGTAAGCAGCGATAGGTGAGTAATAAAGGGTTTTTTACGATTCAGTGCATACAAATATAGCCAATTAGCATTTTTTCCAACGCAATGAGGGGCTGAAATCGTATATTCAAAACAAACAATAGGTATTTCAAAGCTAATAAGTATTGAAATGAGTCACCTCACTAACAGTGATATATTTATGTCTAGATAAAAGTTTGAAACACGCAAAGTTGAACACGCTATTTAGTATTCAAATACAGGGTGTTTAAAAAGTATCTTAATTGGAGAAAATTAAGTTTAAATGCAAGAGTTGCTATCCTGAAAGCCTTTTAACTATGAAGGAAGGACAAAGGACCAATAAAGTTTGATTTAAAAGCCTTTTTATGCAGTTATTTTACACCACATTTTTTTCTTTAAAATTTAATTCTAGAACTTAATATTAGAGCATTATTATAGGCCATTCCCAAAGTATATAAATGTTAAAATTATGAAAATAAACACCATAAAAACCATTTTCACCCGAATAGAGGTTATTATACTAAGAAGACTCTTATCCGGCTCAGATCTCGATTTATTGCACTGTGCAGGGCTTGAAGACGTCGAGCAGCCACCTAATCCTAATTAAATGAGTTTGTTAAAAACATACCCCACCCCTCACGTTTAAAATCGCCCCTCTACCATTCTGCACCTTAGGTTGCCAAGGCAACTCCCTAGCGTCCTCTAGCGCCGCGGCGGCCAGCGGTTGTTTCGGATTTTAATCGAAATTAATTCGGCGGAATGATCTCTAACCGGGACAAACAGAATTAAGTACCTACAGGGTGTTTTAATTGCACAAATAAACGCTAAATCGTGCGTATCTTTAAGATACCTCAACGAAATTTGGCGTGGTTGTATTAGACGAACTCCGTAATGTATTGATCGGAATATTTATACTGTAAATATACAGGGTGATTTAAGTTTACGACCCATTTTCCTAATACGCAAAAATATAACAATTTGGTTTAAATATTCTTAAACTAAACAAAATTTCCTGTCATTTGATACCCCACTCGACCTTAACTGTCATTAATTACTATACAGGGTGTTTCAACACAACGGTAATTTTAAAATCGTGTTATCTTTTTTAAAATACTGTAATGAAATTTGGTAAACGTATATTATACGCAGTTAAAAATACAAAAATGATAATATTTTACTGTAAATATACAGGGTGATTTAAGTCTACGACCCATTTTCCTAATACGCAAAAATATAACAATTTGGTTTAAATTTTCTTAAACCAAACAAAATTTCCTGTACTTGAACACCCCACTCGACCTTAACTGCCATTAATTACTATACAGGGTGTTTCAACACAACGGTAATTTTAAAATCTTGTTACCTTTTTTAAATACTGTAATGAAGTTTGGTAAACGTATATTACACGCAGTGAAAAATCCAAAAATAATGATATTTTACTGTAAATATACAGGGTGATTCAAATGTAAGAACCATTTTCCTAATACACAAAAATATAACGATTTGGTTTAAATATTCTTAAACTAAACAAAATTTCCTGTACTTTGATACCCCGCTCGACCTCAACTGTAAATAAGTACTATACAAGGTGTTTCAATATAACAGTGATTTGAAAATTGTCTTCTTGTATTTTAAGATATTTGAATAAAACTTGCTATACCTGTATTATACATAGTTTAGAATCCAAAAATGATAATATTTTTACTGTAAATATACGGGGTGAACCGATACTACCATTCACTTTTTTAATTTTTGAAGACACCCTGTATATTATGGAAAACATCGTTGCAATTGCAATTATGTAATTTTTTTTGAAAAACTGTGTTTATATTTCACTTTCACGATTGTTTTTACACACCCTGTATAAATTATGTAAAACTAATATCACCCAAAGATTTTTATGTGTTTTTCATTAATTTTAAAACAAAAATCATTAAAATCGGTCTAAGGGTTCCCGAGATACCAAAAAAAATAACCATTTATAATTGCATACTACAGGGTAAATCGAAAAAACGTAAAATTTCAGAAGTTTGGAATCGTTCTCGGCCTACTCGGAAAACATGCCGTGGCTGATGGTACCGTTCCAACAGACGGCCGTCAGGGCCGAACTGGCCCAACTGTACGGGATAAGGGGCATCCCCACTCTACTCCTGTTGGACAGTAATGGTCACGTGATAACGATGGACGCGCGCACAGAGTTGATCGAGGATCCGACCGCGCAGAATTTTCCTTGGCGCCCTAGGGCAGTTAACGTGCTCACCGAGAGATATGCAACCAAATTACACGACTATCCTGCAGTTGTTTTATTTGTTGGTGAGTGTTTGGGGTTATTAAATGTAAGAAAATACTTTATACTTACAATAAAATGCACTAACTAAACTAAATAATACTGTGCAATGTATAAAGGTTAATTTTGATAAGATTATATAAAGTATTAAAGAACAACTATATTTAATAGAAACAGAATATTTAGTAAGTAGGTATCTATTTATAATACCAATTGATCTAATTTTAAAATAAACCACCACTGAGTTAACACTAAATAGATGGAGCACAAAAATATTTACTCTTTCAGATGGTGAGGAGACAGAGCTACAATTCGCTGAGTCAGTCTTAACCCCAACTGCAGAAAAATACTATAAAAAATACAACATAAACTTCAGCTCTTTGCAGGACGAGTTTTTCAGTAATTTTGAGGATGACTCGTTCCTACAATTCCTGATTGGTTTGGACTCCGAAACAACCGACATTCTCCGCGATCTGATTGGTTTGGACGATGTGGTACCCCTATTGGTGGCCATAGACATACCAAATAGAAAATTCGCTGTCATGGAGTATGGGGTGGAGATAACCGTTAACAGTGTTTCGGATTTTGTTGAGAAGTACCAAAAAGGAGAGGTTAAGTTTGTCGATATAAATGATAGAGTAGAAGGTAATAACTAGACTAATAATAAAAGTATTGGATACAGTAGAATATCTTACCTATTTTAGAATAGTTATAGTTGACAAAATTCTAAATCAAAATACTGCCAAAGTTTCATATTTTTACCTGTAAATATTTTTATAGTACTTAATGTTGTTACTATTGTAGGAAAATAATAGTTATTTAATAAAATAAAAGTCTCAAATGCGTAAAATTAATTTATTTATTACTGGTAAAAAAAATCTTAATGGGTGAAATTCAAAAAAATATATACAAATTAAATAAATACTATGTACAGTGGAAAAATTATGTGAATTTAACGATAAAACAAACAAAAAATGCTTAATTTAAAATCAAATAATTATCACAAATTTAAATTAACTATGTTAAAAGGGCCGTAAGGGCATCAAAAAATCTAGTTCTATCTTTCGTATGCAATTCAAAATCTAAAAACAAAACAAAAATAAAACAAAAAATTAAAATCTCAAAAAAAAAATACTCACAAGAGGTATCGAAAAAATCACTTCCAGGCTCCATTCGAATTCTTTCAGCTGCCTGTTCGAACGCCTTACCGAAAAAACTAAAAAAAAATACCATAAAATAAATATTTTTTTTTACTGTACTCCGAAAAAAAGCGCAATTAAATCCGACCATCCATTCTCAAGATACAAGAAAAAATAACCAAAAAAAATTACATACTACAGGGGAAGTCACAAACAATACCTTTTGGGCGAGTTCTCGCATAGAGGCGGTATTCCCAGTATAACGCACGTTCCCATCTCTAACTGCTTCGGAGCGGACACTATCAGAGGCAGTGTTGCCGCGCGTTTGTTGCGCGACATGGCAACGTAGGCGCGCAGGATGAACTGCGCCAGCAGGGAGAGAACGTGGAGGTGGGAGAACATGTACCAATCCAGGCAACCTTCATGTATAATGTAGTAGATAAAAGGGCCCGCGGTAATTATTTGTTTCATGTCCAATGCACTTTGCACAGTCTTGAACAACGTTTTTGTGATGACTTTGGCTTTTTCTATTGCGTTGTCGGTCAAGTCTTTTTTCGTCCTTGAAAGGCAGTCCAAGGACAAGTTGAAGCACTCCTCCATTTTTTTCTCCCTAGGCTAATTTATGTATAATATATATACAATTTACATTTCTGCGAACTGGGTAAATAATATCACAAAACGGACTAAATATTCTTAATGTGCACAAAAAATCCTTTAAAATGATACCCCACACGATTTTTACGCACATGGCAAAATTTGCTATAATTAGCAAAAATTGCTATAATTTGCTATAATAGCAAAATTTCATGTGGGTACTCAAATTTAAGGATTTTTTTCGTGGATTACGAATATACCAATTATTTTTTGTTGTGTCCATTATAAAGGGATTATGGTACAATTATAAACATAATATTTTAAGAGTATGTCAAAAAATCATAATTTTAGCTTGTTGACATTTTGATTCTTTAATTTTTAGGTTCTTAAAGACCAAATTCCACCAAATATAACAATTTACCAGATTATTTACGTTGTTTTTACATTTCTGCGAACTGGGTAAATAATATCACAAAACATACTAAATATTTTTATTGTGCACAAAAAATCCTTTGAAATGATACCCCACACGATATTTACGCACATAGCAAAATTTGCTATAATTGGCAAAAATTGCTATAATTAGCAAAAATTGCTATAATTTGCTATAATAGCAAAATATCATATGGGTACTCAAATTAAAGAATTTTTTGCGTGGATTGCAAATATACTAATTATTTTATGTATTATTAACCATAAAAGGTAATAATTTCGGGTATAAACATAATATTTGAAAAATATGTCAAGAAATCATCATTTTAGCTTGTCGACATTTTTATTTTTAGGTTCTTAAAGACAAAATTCCACCAAATATAACAATTTACCAAATTATTTACGTTGTTTTTACATTTCTGCGAACTGGGTAAATAATATCACAAAACATACTAAATATTTTTATTGTGCACAAAAAATACTTTGAAATGATACCCCACACGATTTTTACGCACATAGCAAAATTTGCTATAATTAGCAAAAATTGCTATAATTTGCTATAATAGCAAAAAATCATGTGGGTACTCAAATTAAAGGATTTTTTGCGTGGATTACGAATATGCTGATTATTTTTTTCTAGTGTTCACATTTTGGCAGATAATTTTATTAAACACTTACCGAAGCTTCCAAAATTGCTAGTAACGCATAGACAATGTCGGATGCGCAGTATTTATTCCTATAACCATATTTTAAAGTGAAAGAGGCATAAATAATATCCTGTAGACCGTATTTATCTGATAACTTCTCTAAAGACCCGTGAAACTCCTTCCTTAATTGCAAATCCATGGATTTAAATGCCTGTCTGGTTTGAACCAAAGGAAAACTAAAATTTAAACGGTAATAAATCGTTTTTGTATGACCCCAATTACTAACCCCATGTTTGCCAATAGTTCTTGCAACTTTTTGTCGCCTTTTAAGGACCACAACTTCATTTTTACCGCGGTAAACATGGAATATTTAAGGCTTTCTTCCACTGACCAGTGTCTGTACAAAGATAGCTTCAAATCTTTTTCAAAGTTTATTTTAAGTGATGTTAGAACGTCCGTATCGTTAGTTTTGTTGTGCAACCTTAGAACAATTAAATGAAACAGTCAGATGTAAAAATTTTAATGTTTATTTTGTTTTTTTTTTGTTTACCTTGTTGCATGAGCTTGTAAAGTACCTATTTCAAGCGCATATTGCGTATTTTCGATTTTCCCGAAAAGCATTTGTTCAGTAAGGGCGACTATTGCCAGCCAAAGCAAATTTTTGTCGTCCAAATTTACTTTCCAGGCAAGAGTAAACATGGTAATTGCACTCTAAAATTTCGAAAAAAAATAAAATACAATTCCAGTGATGCCAGCTACTCAAAAATACTCACAGCTTTGGAGTAGTAGGTGAATTGGGAGTACTCAAAAAGCAATTTGTTTCTCTTGTCCTCCCACAGTCTTTTCTCCCTCCTCTTCATTATTGCCTCCTCGTTCAACCTGCGACGTTTGGCAACGTGGCTTTCTTCCCCTCCATCCCCTCCACCATCATCCCCACTATCACCAACAACATCATCATTGTCGGATTGCAACCCTTCATCTTCAGAATCAGACTGAAGAATCATTAAAAAACATTAATAAACTTGAAGACAAAACATTACCAAACTCACTTCCTCTTTAAAAATTTCATGGAAATCAGGAACAACCCCGTCTTCTTCCTGCGAAGACAACAACCTCACTTGCCCGTTACTGTAAATATTACAGAGATCCGTAGGCCTGTGCGAGTCTAAAATGAAGAAAATAACATCTTCTTCAGCCTCTAATTCTTCCACAATGTCTATAGTGCCACCCGAATTAATCAAAACAAAATATTTCACATCTTCACAGTTTTCACGATAAGCAGTTTTTAAATCAGCTATACCTCTCACTACGGCCAAACTGTACAAAATATGTTTGTATTTTAGTAAACTTTGAAGTATTTTGCACGTACATATACTGTCTATATCATAATGAACGATTAAAAAAATTCTCTACAAAAAAATGCATTGAGTAGTCAAAAAAATCGGATTTAAATGTTGTGAAACTTACTTTCCCACTCAAAAAATCATAGAATTCCTCTTTTAAATCTTCCACATACATTTTAAATCGCTAAAAAACACAAAAAATCACCCCAAAATGAACATCATAACCTATTTTTTGACAGTTACCGCCAAACAAAACCGTTTTTCGGGACTACCAACGCCGAAAACAAAAAAACGTGTTAACTGACTTGTGCGTTATATTTATATTTAAATATTCTTCTTATTATATATTATAACACGACAAAAATTCATATTATTTTTAGTTTTAAAACTGAAAAATAAATAAAAACCGCTTAAATACAAAAAAAAAGCGACATCTGTCAAAATTAAAACCGTTTCATCTACTTGTCGATAGATGGCGCTTTAAATCTCATGACATCTGTCATTGAATATTTTTATGTATAAACATGATAAAAATGCAAATAATTGCTATTATAGCCGACAAATATAGTAAGTAGAAGTTGAAATGTATTCCGAGGACCACACCAGATACGTTTTGTTGACGAATGGGGCCAATAGGTGCGTCAAAAGTAAAATGTTTGCGTTTTTGAGGTTATATAAATTATTTTTCTTTGTAGAACCAATTGGAGATTCGATAGAAGGACTTTAATACTGTTGAGTGTGATTATATTGCCTATTGTTTTCTTTTGCGGTACATACATGACTTTGTTTGGGGTGTACGAGAAAACTGTTTATCCGATAACACAAACTTTGAGTAGTTGTTTATTAATTATTATCGTGTTTTTATTCACAATTTACTTGTTGTAGATGTGCCAGATCAACTTGTAGAGCGATCTGATAAATATGGTAAATTCGTAAACGTCGTAAATACAGAGAAAATTGGGTTTTTAAGTCATATAAAAAATATCAGCGATTACAGGCAATATAAGTTGGTTTGTTACTATAATTTTCCTCAAAACGAAATAGTACAGTTAAAAGGTGAAAATATAGATCCAAATTTGTGTACGCATTTAAATTTAGCGTTTGTTTCGGTCGTTAATAATACTTTAAATGTTGAAAATAGTCAACTGAATGATATCAAAAGAATTTTGTTGTTAAAAAATGTAAATAAAGACTTGAAAATATTATTATCAGTGGGGGGAGCAGGGGACAAAAATGGCTGGCCGGAAATGGTGAAAAATCATACCAACCGAAAAAGGTAAAATACCTTTTTGATTAAAAACTAAAACAAACAACTTTTTCAATATTTTAGTTTTATTAAATCGGTTATGACGTTTATAAAAACATACAAAATTGATGGTGTAGACTTGGACTGGGAATTCCCCAATATCAACGAAAATTCCGACAAAAAACAAAAACAGCATTTCACGCAATTGCTGGAAGAAATGTTTATAGCGAAAAGAAGACAATATTTGAATTTTTTAATCACTCTAGCAGTTGCCGCACCTGTAAACATCGTCGATTTCGCCTACGATATACCCTATATCAACGAGTAACTATAGTTTCATCGTAATATGAAAAAGACCGGTATTTTAGTAAATCGCGTATATCTCCGGAATTTTTTATTTTAATCAATTGAAATTTTGTACATATTTCAAGGGTGTTTTTTGCTACACTCCCTGCAAATTTCACGAAAAAATATCGAAAAACAACCGAGATATGCGTGTTTTTTAAATTACCCGGGCTTTTTCAACCTATGAATATACTATATCTATAACTAATTTTCAGGTACGTTGATTTTATAAATCTTATGTCGTACGATTATCATTTTTACACGAAATTCACGCCTTTCACCGGTTTAAATTCGCCTTTATACGGTAGTTCAAATGAAGCATCAATTTTCTCGAGTTTGAATATAAACTATTCCGTGAATTACTGGAATTACAAGGGAATGGATAAAAGTAAAATCGTTGTAGGGCTGCCAACGTACGGACACAGCTTTAAGTGAGTTGGCAACACTTGAATTTGACGTTCAACTGTCAAATTTGACGTTTTTTATTTTTAGGTTAGTAAATGCGAGAAATAACGGTCTGTACGCCCCTGCCAGGGGTTATGGTAAGCTAGGGTCCAAAGGTTTTATCGATTTCAGCCAGGTTTGCACTTTTTTGGCGCTAAATCATATCACCCCGGTTTTTGACCTTGAAACTAAAAGTCCCTACGCTTCAAAGTATACGGAGTGGATTTCTTTTGACGATGCGCAAAGTTTATCGTACAAGGTGAATTTTTAACTTGTAATTAGTTCATTGATTCTACGATTTCAATGAAATTTTTGGGATTTATAAAACAAAGTATATATATAGATATAAAAAAACAGTTTTCACCAAATTGCAAAGCACATTACCCCTCACCTCTCCTGTAAATTTCATTAAAATCGCTCAATTAATAACAAAGATACAGACGTTAAACTTGGCAACATGTTTTTTTTAGGCTGAATTTATAAGAGACAACCATTTTGGTGGTGCAATGGTTTATTCTCTTAATACAGACCGGACCATAAAGGACTTTGCATACCTACAGGGAAAACCAATCAAAAATTCCCTCTAATAAACACGATTAAAAAACATATTGGTTAAAAAAAATAACGTTTAAATCGAAAATTCTACGATTTCGTCGATTTTGACAGTTATGAGGCATAAAATCACATTCCAAGGTCAAATTTTGACATTTGATTTGTCTATTTACCTCACAAAACTAGAAGTTTTGTGATTTACCTTAGTAACAGACTGATTTTAAATGACGTTAAAATTACAGTTGGTAAGGGTTTTAAAATCGTGCCACTTTTACATAAAAAATTGACCAAAGTTTGAAAAAACGTTTTAATGTATGACTGAAGATTTTTGAAACATTATAAATTGCTCAAACTGCTCAAACAGTATTTGGATTGAAAAAACGATTTATAGTTCGTTTTTATCATCAAAATTTGCTATAACTATTCCCGCTAATTTTGGGCTTTGTATGTGATAAAAAATTAGATTAGTTGAGAAAAGTTACCAGTTTATGTTACATTTTATTAATTAAGCACATGTTGTAATATATTATTATTATTATTTATACAATAAATTATATAAACGAATGATTGTTTTATTTCCTTGAAAACAACTGTCAAAATTAATAATTAAGTTGGTTACCTGTACATTCGCGAAATTAAGTTGAATTGTCCGCCAGTAGATGGCGCCACATGTAAATTTGCAAACGTATTCGCCAAAAATTGTGCCAACTTGATTCGTATCAGCTTTAAAATGTTTAAAAGGTCTTTTTCGCCCGTAAAAAGTCCATAAAAGTTGTTAAAAGTGGTGCGGTTGCTGTTTTTTCACGTGCTGATGTGTTTTTTTGCACGAAATTCCGGTTAATTCTGGAAGGAAAGTTTAACCTTATTTAGGTGAGTGTGGTACAGTTGACCTAAATTTAGTTTTTAAATAGTTTTAAGTAGTTTTTAATAATTTTTTCGTAACCAATGCGTAGATGAAGGTTGGGTGATGCGTGGAAAGTTACTTTTAGCAACTTTAAAGGAGTTCTTTAGAGTTTTTTTGAGGATCGCAAATTTAAGGTTATATTTTAACACATTTCATAGCCTACTTATGCAAAAATTAATTATAAGTGACCCACAAAGTAATAATTGCGTAATTGCAATTTTTTTTAAGGTCTAACCGATAAAAAATCCCGTTCTGATTATTCAATTTTTTAATATTGTTAGATAATGCTTATAACGCATAGCAACAAGATATTTGTGTTAATACTATTAAAGACTTTCTTTTAATTAGCTGTTTAAAATAAAATGGGGGTTATAACCCCTAAATTTTTGGACCAATTGTTATCACTAGCAGGTAAAAATGAGGGAAATTTTGGTAACACCCCAACATTTAAAAAGGATGCATTTTTAGGACCCTCCTACCCTAAAATAGGCCACACCCCCTACACCAATGCAGTCTAGATCTAAAATTAACACTTTTATTATTTATATTTTTAACATTTCTTTATGGATTTTCAAAATTCTTTTTTTAATTTATAGTCAACATATCATTTTTCAATTACAATACATACACTGGTATTGTAACAATACAAATAAAGAACTGACTGCAATGATTCATACAACTTGTTTAAACTTGTTGGAATTTTATAATTTTTTAAAAATATCCATGAATGTACCCTTATAGGTAGGTCCTATAACGTTTATACAATTTTTTTAAAACCTACCCCTTATGATTAAGTTTAAACCATCTGTACCTCAATTCAAATTCCCCCTTTAATCATTTTCGTAAAAATGTTTTTCATTCATAGGAAATTTTCTCATAAATTTTTCTTTTTGAAACTTGAATACAGAAAACCGTTGCAAAATATTTATAATTTTATTAAAAATGTTTTTCATTCATACGAAATTTTCTCATAAATTTTTCTTTTTGAAACTTGAATACAGAAAACCGTTGCAAAATATTTATAATTTTATTAAAAATAACTTAATCCCTAGTCCAGACACAATTTTAAAACCCTTTTGACCCAAAAATAACATAGGTCAACACCCTTTTAGATGTCTAGACTGTCTATAACACTATAACATAGGTAATACCATTGAGTAAAGAAGACACTTTACTCAATGGTAATACTATTTGCAAAGGCGACTAGATTGGTTTTGTTTTTTGACGTTTATCGGATATTTTTAATGCTATCTTTGATTGTGATACCTATGTCAAATTGAAGGAAATTTAGTAGGTATAGATTTGATAACATTTGTCAAATATTGTACTGCACAATACTTTTGGCACTACTTTTTATTTATAAATTGCTATAAAAGACTGCTTAAACAAAATTTTAATATAATACAAAAAGTGCATGTTAATTTTTCTGCGTTACCATAGGATTTACCCCGTATGTTTTTTCAGGATTTTGTAGAAAATTAAATTTCCTCTTTTTTGAGCCCAAACACGGCATACTTACCTTAAAAAACAAAAGAGTTGTGTCCATTTTTCGATATTTGCAAAGGCGACTAGATTGGTTTTGTTTTTTAACGTATCTCGCTTGTTTTTAGTTCGATTTTTAAGTGTGATGTGTCAAGTTGTAGGAAATTTTGTAGAATTTAAAAAACTTGTCATATATTGTAAAAATATTTCGTACAACCGGCGCTACTGTGCGCGGCATTACGAAATAGGGTCTATGACCTTGCGGCTGCCCTGGGGGCGGCAGACGTCATCGACCCCCAAAAAAAGAGACACCAGAAATGATAATTCTGGCTAAAACAACATACATTCTTTTTTAATGCAGTTTCTGCAGCAATAAAAAATAAAATGGGAATAACTTTTTTATTTGTTGATTTAGAAAAAAACGTTATTTTTGATAAAATTGAGTAAATATCTTGAAATTACTATATTTAATAACATCTTTGAGATTACTGTACTGGGTGCTTTAAAAACAACGCATAAAATAGTGTAGACAAAAATAGACTTTATTTTTGTTATTTATTTTCTGTGGTGTAGGTGGGGGTGGGAAGTAGCCGCCGCTTTATAACCGCCACACGAAACTGTGCAATTAGAGCGGCGGGAACGGGAATTACAGGTATTGGGTCTACCGCACAGTGGGCGAGTTAACAAAGTATTATTACGTAACTAATTCTTGATATTTTCTTCCTTGTCATATTTTCAATTTTTTACTACTTTTCGTTATAGAATGATTTGAAATTTTGGAAGTTTGTTCAAGAAGGTCAAAAAGATTTACTTATTAAAATGCTAAAAATGTTTAAAACAACATAGTTTGTAGGTATTTCGTATTAAATAATTAATTTTAAATGTATCAGATTTACACGTAATTTTAAACAGTAAAGAGCCGATTTAAACCGAATATGTACGATTCTTATTTTATTGATCTTCGGCACTAAGCGAGAGATCTGCCTTTCGGCTGAGTTATTCGGAAAGTGCAGTTCACATCCTGTCGCACAGTGATTCAAAATCACCATTTTAAATCTCCAATTAATAAAAATCCAATAGAAAATTTAATTTCCTTTCGTTAGACACCCAACACGACATACTTTGCTCTAAAAACAAAAAAACTACAAGGATTTTTCGAAAATTCCAAGGCCACCCTTGACAATTTTAACTTTTCGTCATATCTCCCTTATTTTCCATCAAAAATCAACCAACAAAAAAACAACTTGAAGGATTTTTGACTCTCCTTCCGATAAAACTAAAATCATGCCGCCAAGTGTTTCGCAACGTTGCCTTTTCGAGTACTGTGCGCAGGCCACCAAGAAGAGCCGAGCTGTTGCTATGCGAAATGCAACTATGTGCCACTACTGGCTCTGTGCACACGTATGGACAGACATCCGCGGGTTGTTCACTTGTAATTTTTAAAGTTACACGGTCGCGGCGCTGTTGCCAAACCGAACGCTCTGCTCTTTTGGCGGATAGCCGGTGTTTCGCACGCAGTGTGCATCCAAATTTTACCGAAATCGAACAAAAATTGTAAAATGTATTAACCATTTTTTATATCCTTATATAAGTATTGTAGATATACTCCCATAACTTTTTTGATAGTGTAGGTACGCAGAAAAATTCCTGACATTGCATTGTGAAAAGCATATTTTTCTTTCTATATCGTACAAATTTAACTAAAATCGTGTAGAAATTACACAAAACAGCATTATAAATAGAGCTTTAGTACCTTGGTTTAGCTATATAATATTCTAACCAAGTTCACATCCTGAAGTAGGTACATAGAGCCACGTATTGATCGGTTTGTACGACACCGAGTTTCCTTTCTCCGTATACACGTCGCTTTGCACAGATAGACGCCTTCTGTAGCGTCTAGACGCTATCCTAGACGCTCGCCAGGGATGCCCTAGGATAAAGGTACATAATAATGAGAATAATATTTTGTTTGCAATGTTTTTCATTTTCCTGTGGTTTCTACAGTTTTTAAACAATTTCAGTAAAATTTCTGGAATTTAATAAGAAAAGTGTGCTTTTTACAATGCATTTGGCAGAATTTTTCTGTGAACACTAGCAAAAAAGTTATGGGCCTATATCTACAATGCTTAAAAAAGAATTTAAAAAATTGTTAATATATTTTTAATTTTCTTGTAGTTTTTACAATTTTTATCCAATTTTAGTAGAATTTGCACAATTTAATAAGAAAAATATGCTTTTTACAATGCATTTGACAAAATTTTTCTATGTATACTACCAAAAAAGTTATGGGCCTATATCTACAATGCTTTAAAAAGAATTTGATTTTTTTAAAGAGATATTTCATTTTCTTGTAGTTTTTACAATTTTTATCCAATTTTAGTAAAATTTGTACAATATAATAAGCAAATGCATTTGACAAAAAATTTCTAAGTACACTAGCAAAAAAGTTATGGGCCTATGTCTACAATGCTCAAAAAAGAATTTGAAAGTTTGTTAATATATTTTTAATTTTTTTGTGGTTTTCACAATTTTTATTTAAGTTCAGTAGAATTTGTACCATTTAATAAGAAAAATATGCTTTTTTCAATGCATTTGACAGAATTTTTCTGTGAACACTAGCAAAAAAGTTATGGGCCTATATCTACAATCTTTAAAAAATTGTTAATATATTTTTAATTTTCTTGTAGTTTTTACAATTTTTATCCAATTTTAGTAGAATTTGCACAATTTAATAAGAAAAATAAGCTTTTTACAATGCATTTGACAAAATGTTTCTTTGTATACTA